AAAATTCAAGCATAACGACAGAACAGCAGACCAATCGAAACGAGTAAAAGCATCCTTACCTCAGTCATCGTCCTGCCATGTAGTTGGACAGCCTTTTGACACGGTGGGACAGGCAGCTCTTGTCCAGTCAAACAGGGGTATCCTTGTGGCGTCGAACGAAAGAGAGTGCCAGTGTACTATCTGACTCGTCAGATTGGAACTGTGCTGAACTTTTCTCTTTCTCCGGTTTCTGCTTTCATCCCTCGCTCTGATGAAACCGTTCAAACGTCTTACTGGCAGCAATGGCCAGCCAAACAGGGGATCCTTGTGGCGTCGAACGAAAGAGAGTGTCAGTGTACCTGACTCGTCAGATTTGAACTGTGCTGAACTTTTCTCGTTCGGCAAATTCTGCTTTCACCCCGCACACTGATGAGACGTCTTCAGAGAACCACAAGACGCTTTCCAGATTTGATTTTGAACGTCTCCTTATCCTCCTTGGTTACCTCGTGACAGATTACTGTCAGCATCTTCACAGCAGAACCGGCAGCCATGGCTGAAGCGAAGAAAGGAATGCGCTGCCACGAGGCAAGCAAAACTGAAAAGGTGTTTGTTCTTTTTCGGGCACAACACACAGGATGGCGTGACTGGATAAACTGGACTCCTGGACTGTGAATAGGGGACTGGTAGAAAAAGTGTACTCCTTATAGGGGATTGCGCGGCAGGTTGAAGCTGATCAAAACTGAGTGGACTCCTGGACTCTGTATAGTGGATTTTGGACCAATGGACTCTATATAGGGTGCTGGACATCATATAGTGCATGGACTCTATACTGAGTCCTACATATAGTATCATGTTACAGTGATGGAGAGTTACTCTTAACTCGTATCCATTGTGTCCTTTTCTCTTCCACATTTATTTATGGCTCAACATCCGAGTTTCAGATAATAATAATAATAATAACTTAGAAGTTGCGACTTCGGCGGTAATAGTCATGAAGTTGATTGTTCCAACTAAGTAACTAAGTTTGTATCCCTGGTGATGGTTTGGCCTGGAGAGCAGCATACAAGTGGTGCTTTTCAGGCACAATCTTCCTCAGCCTACTCAAGCTCAACTGATGAGGGGTGAATTCCACGAAACACCGTGTATTGAGCAGGGAGTGGTGCTTTCTTGCAGGTTTGCCGAGTGGAAGGTGCGACGTGCTCCTCGTGTGCTCCTGGTGGCAGTCGTGAGTCAGTCAAGTGTCAAGTTCGGCAAGAAGCGTGTGTTCCTAGTTGGAATAATCAACTTAATAATAATAATAATAATAATAATAATAATTTAAACAATCGACGAGGAGACAATAGTCGTAAAATGGCAATAAATAAGATAAATTGTGCACTCATAACAACAGCAAAAATGAAGAAAGTCAAGTTCCATAACGTTTTCTTGTGACTGTCATCAGTGGAACGCCGTCACATAAAAATGTAATAACTAAAACACACATTTATATACATGTAGCTAATATGGCTTCAGGTAGAAATACAGCAGCTAACAAGTACAAAAAGCGAAGTTTGCACCTTTGCAATGTGTGAATATAGTGTATGTGAGAAAGGTAGTGGCAGATGAATGTCTGCTGTTCCAGGCTGAACTTAGAAGGCGCTGACAAGTCTCGTAGCTTAGTGGTTAGAGCATTGCTCATGACAAGCAGGGTCCCAGGTTCGAGTCCTGGTGGGTCTGGCGTATTTTTTCTTTTCAGGCAGTTCACTTCCCCGACTGATCCTTTGAATTTGAAGTTCTCCCAATCCTTTCTAAATTTAATCACTTTCTTTCACCTCTGGCAGTTTCCAGAAACTGACCGTGGTTGGTCCACTGGGGGAGAGAAAAAGACCCAAGTGCCGTCAGTATGTGTGGCACGTGTTGTGAGCTGCCTTTGTAGTGAAAAACTTGTCAGCGCCTTCTAGGTTCAGCCTGGTCTCATAGCTCAGTGGTTAGAGCATTGCTCATGACAAGCAGGGTCCCAGGTTCGAGTCCTGGTGGGTCTGGCGTTTTTTTCTCTTTTCAGGCAGTTCACTTCCCCGACTGATCCTTTGAATTTGAAGCTCTCCCAATCCTTTCCAAATTTAATCACTTTCTTTCACCTCTGGTAGTTTCCAGAAACTGACCGTGGTTGGTCCCCTGGGGGAGGGAAAAAGACCCAAGTGCCATCAGTATGTGTGGCACGTGTTGTGAGCTGCCTTTGTAGTGAAAAACTTGTCAGTGCCTTCTAGGTTCAGCCTGGTCTCATAGCTCAGTGGTTAGAGCATTGCTCATGACAAGCAGGGTCCCAGGTTCGAGTCCTTGTGGGTCTGGCGTTTTTTCTCTTTTCAGGCAGTTCACTTCCCCGACTGATCCTTTGAATTTGAAGTTCTCCCAATCCTTTCCAAATTTAATCACTTTCTTTCACCTCTGGTAGTTTCCAGAAACTGACCGTGGTTGGTCTCCTCGGGGAGGGAAAAAGACCCAAGTGCCATCAGTATGTGTGGCACGTGTTGTGAGCTGCCTTTGGAGTGAAAAACTTGTCAGCGCCTTCTAGGTTCAGCCTGGTCTCATAGCTCAGTGGTTAGAGCATTGCTCATGGCAAGCAGGGTCCCTGGTTCGAGTCCTGGTGGGTCTGGCGTTTTTTCTCTTTTCAGGCAGTTCACTTCCCCGACTGATCCTTTGAATTTGAAGTTCTCCCAATCCTTTCCAAATTTAATCACTTTCTTTCACCTCTGGTAGTTTCCAGAAACTGACCGTGGTTGGTCCCCTGGGGGAGGGAAAAAGACCCAAGTGCCATCAGTATGTGTGGCACGTGTTGTGAGCTGCCTTTGGAGTGAAAAACTTGTCAGTGCCTTCTAGGTTCAGCCTGGTCTCATAGCTCAGTGGTTAGAGCATTGCTCATGACAAGCAGGGTCCCAGGTTCGAGTCCTTGTGGGTCTGGCATGTTTTCTCTTTTCAGGCAGTTCACTTCCCGACTGATCCTTTGAATAATAATAATAATATTTGAGGGAAAGAGACAAACGGGAAAAGTCTGAAGATGAAATTGACTGTCGCCACCAGGACTCGAACCAGGGACCCTCGCTTGTAGCCAGCGATGCTCTAACCGCTGAGGTATGGTGTAGTCGTCATCCAAGCTGAGACCGTTCAACGTTTTCTTCAGACTTCGTAACTCACACTTCCTGTGAATCTGTGAATCCACACAGGCGGATAGAACGCAGCCCTCACTGTAACCCACACACTTCACGTACAAACTAGCACGCGGGGAGCCCCAAGTCATAAAATGTTGACTGTGAATAATAATAATAATAATAATAATAATAATAATAATAATAATAATAATAATAATAATTCAAAGGATCAATTGGGGAAGTTAACTGCCTGAAAAGAGAAAAAATCGCCAGACCCACGGACTCGAACCCCGGACCTTGCTTGTCATGAGCAATGCTCTAACCACTGAGCTATGGGACCGGGCTGAACCTAGAAGGCGCTGACAAATTTTTCACTCCAAAGGCAGCTCACAACACGTACTAGTAAGGTCCAGAAACTGACCGTGGTTGGTCCCCTGGGGGAGGGAGAAATACCCAAGTGCCATCAGTATGTGTGGCACGTGTTGTGAGCTGCCTTTGGAGTGAAAAACTTGTCAGCGCCTTCTAGGTTCAGCCCGGTCCCATAGCTCAGTAGTTAGAGCATTGCTCACGACAAGCAAGGTCCCGGGTTCGAGTCCTGGTGGGTTTGGCGATTGTTTCTCTTTTCAGGCAGTTCACTTCCCCAATTGATCCTTTTAATTTGAAGTTCACCCAATCCTTTCAAAATAATAATAATAATAATAATAATGTAAATAGGCGTCGAGGCGACAATAGTTTTAGAATTGCGATCAACAGAACGAGCTGAACCGACATTTCACAAAGGCTTTTATTGTATTAAAAAAACGAGTGGATACGAAGGCAGTGAAAAACATGGAAGAAAGAAAAATGTGATATGGAGAAAATGATGAACAAAAAATCGTACTTCGAACTAGTTTTCGCACAACACTCCTCAGAAAGCTACGTTGTACTAATGAAAAACAATCCAGAAAGATACTAATAAAGAGAAATGGAGTGAGAAGAAACAACACCTATGAAAATGATAATCCTAGCACTAAGGTAATAACAGGAAAAACTGCGAAAGCACTTAACGAACTTGTAAAGACTACTAGTATACTGTGACACAAGATATGACACCATGGCCAACCAGGGCCAAAAAGACAGAACAAGCTGCTACTAGAACAATTTCAAACGAATAATGCTGTCCTGCTGGACACACAGATTAGGCTTATGAATACGTTGACAAACAGCTTCTAACACACTCAACTGCAACTTATAACTATGAGGAGCACGGCACAAAACAGAAAAAGAAGAATCAGAATACACCTTGCAGCAATCAGGACGAGATACAAGATGCTTATACACTGATGACTTCCTACTAGAAAACACACGCTCGCACCCATTCCCACTCACACAATCATTCTCGCTCTCACACTCACCGGACTCACTGGACTCACTGGCCGAATCCTCCTCAACAACGTCCTGCCGTGGAGCAATCAGGTCCCAAAAAAAGGTCCCAAAACAAACCCATCATTTAAGTCATGTAATCTACAACTTTGAATGCCGGAATTGTGCTAGTATAGCCGGTATGTTGGTAGGACTGTTCAGCACCTGAGCGAACGCATCAAGCAACACACTCCTTTACACATTATCCCACGTAGCGCACAACTGGAGCGTCCCACGCGGGCAAGACCCCGTAAACAACCACTACCTCCGCCAACACAGGACCTAGCGTCCCACTCGGCAAGTCCACCATTGGCTTCCGTGGCCATGACCAAGTGACTCCCTCCACCAGCGGAGGTGGATGTGGCTTTGGCGACGCCACGTGTGTTGCATGCAGACACGTTTGCGTCATCATCGCTTGCTGCATCACTGGCAGAGACGACAACAATACCTCCCTCAATATCAACGAGACCCAGAAGAACAACTGCGAATTACACCATGACCTATTTCAGTACGGAAGTACAGAGCCAACGGAATGCACAACAGGAGCGTGAGGCAAGGGATGGGAGGAGACGGGACCTGATTGCTCCAAGGCAGGACGTCGTTGAGGAGGATTCGGCCAGTGAGTCCAGTGAGTCCGGTGAGTGTGAGAGCGAGAATGATTGTGTGAGTGGGAATGGGTGCGAGCGTGAGTTTTCTAGTAGGAAGTCATCAGTGTATAATCATCTTGTATCTCGTCCTGATTGCTGCACGGTGTATTCTGATTCTTCTTTTTCTGTTTTGTGCCGTGCTCGTCATGGTTATAAGTTGCAGTTGAGTGTGTTAGAAGCTGTTTGTCAACGTATTCATAAGCCTAATCTGTGTGTCCAGAAGGACAGCATTATTCGTTTGAAATTGTTCTAGTAGCAGCTTGTTCTGTCTGTTTGGCCCTGGTCGGCCATGGTGTCATATCTTGTGTCACAGTATACTAGTAGTCTTTACAAGTTCGTTAAGTGCTTTCGCAGTTTTTCCTGTTATTACCTTAGTGCTAGGATTATCATTTTCATAGGTGTTGTTTCTTCTCACTCCATTTCTCTTTTTATTAGTATTTTTCTGGATTGTTTTTCATTAGTACAACGTAGCTTCCTGAGGAGTGTTGTGCGAAAACTAGTTCGAAGTACGATTTTTTGTTCATCATTTTCTCCATATCACATTTTTCTTTCTTCCATGTTTTTCACTGCCTTCGTATCCACTCGTTTTTTTAATACAATAACAGCCTTTGTGAAATGTCGGTTCAGCTCGTTCTGTTGATCGCAATTCTAAAAATTATTATAATAATGCAGTAAATATAACCAAATGCGCACTCATATCACAACCATGGGGACGAAAAATGTATTCCAGAACGTTTTCTTGTCACAATTATCAATGGAATTCGTAACTAAAGAGAATGATGAAACTACAATAGGATTTATACAATTGGAGTGAAACAGCGAGGATACAAGCATAGTAAGAAAAATAGCACAAACCTAGGAACAATTTGCACAGGTAATAAACTATAGGTGAGGTGAGAAATGATAGGAAATTCAACAAGTGCAGTGTGACAATGGACAATGGTCTTCCCGACCAAAGCGTGGCCGACCACGTAAGCACCCGACTTCACTGTCCGTTCCGGCAGAGGCTTCTGCTCCACAAACGGTGTCGCGGAAAAACCAACACAGCACGCAGAAATCGGGAACAAACATTAATGTAAACGACGACGAACACTGTGTCTTATCTTCATTATCAGCGAGTACCGGTACGCCGGACGCAGACAAACGCAACTCACCAAAGCTGAGAAGGAGCAAACGGCTGGCGGAAGCTCGGTTTGCAGAGGTGACTGCAAAGATGCATCGAAACTCTCCGGATATGGATGATGCCAGCGGAAGAGTTGACGACTGTCAGGTGTTTGGCAATGGCAAGGGAAGACCGGTCAGGAAGATAACGCGACGGCAGCTGGAGGAGGAGTGTGGAAGCGACGTGTGCAGTGACGATGATGAACCCGGTGGTCGGTTGCTGGGAGAGCTGACGACAGGTGAAGGTGGCAGCGATGATGAAGAGGACGACGACGATGATGACGATTGTGGCGCAGATGGTGTGAAGGACGGTGGCGGTCAGAAACCTAGTGAAGGCGGAGGCGGTGAGAAGAAGAAGAATACATCGGCAATTACATTGCATTTGTTGTCTAACCCCGTGTGTCGTGAAAGTTATGATGATTCTTGGTTCAATGTTGTTCGTTCTGCAAGTAGTTTCAAGCAGTTGAAAGTTCTAGAAGCAGTCTACATTCGCATTCGTGATCCAAATCTTTGTAAACAAAAAGAAAATGTCACTGCACCTACGCTATTCCAGTAAATTCGCACTCACACACACTTGCACATGCATGTCCATTGTCACACTGCACTTGCTGAATTTCCTATCATTTCTCACCTCACCTATAGTTTATTACCTGTGCAAATTGTTCCTAGGTTTGTGCTATTTTTCTTACTATGCTTGAATCCTCGCTGTTTCACTCCAATTGTATAAATCCTATTGTAGTTTCATCATTCTCTTTAGTCACGAATTCCATTGATAATTGTGACAAGAAAACGTTCTGGAATACATTATTCGTCCCCATGGCTGTGATATGAGTGCCATTTAGTTATATTCATTGCGTTATTAAGATTATTGTCTACAAGCCGCCTTTTTAAATAATAATAATAATAGTTTAAAAAAAAGCTATGAATAGGATGAAGGCCGCAGACATCACGAAACTACGTTACTTGTTTGACATGTATTACTGTGTATTTTATAATTACAGTACTTAACTTCAATTTCTTTGGTTGTATCCTTAGTTCCGTATTTTTCCCCTTGATGATAGGAACGAGAAAATTGATTCTGGGTTTTCAATAATATTTTTGTTATAAAATACACAGTAATACATGTCAAACAAGTAACGTAGTTGCGTGATGTCTGCGGCCTTCATTCTATTCATAGCTTTATTAAAATTATTATCTCCACGTAGATTATTTCGTGGATTATTTAATAATAATAATAATTTGAAACATACAATGGGACTCCACAGGGAGATTCTCTGTCGCCGGTATAGTTTACGATATACCTGGAAGCTGCGTTAAGAGAGGTACGAAACCGTCTAACGCCGCGACCAGACCGAGACGTCCAGCTGCTTCTGCCCGGAGAGTCGGAATATGCAGATGATGTGGACTTCAGCAGTACCGACCAAAAGTATCTAAAAAATTGCCTTCCTACAATATCCTCTTCGTTAGCAGAGTGGAACTTGAAGATGAATGAGGGGAAGACGGAACACACCATGATAAGCAGACAAAAGGATCGAATAGAGGAACAGTGGCGACACACAATAAAGCTTGGCTCGATGCTTGGAGTGGATGAGGACATAGGCAGACGAAAGTGGTTGGCTACAAGCGCACTTCACCGGATGTGGGTGATATGGCTGAGAGGGCAACACATCAGAGAGTCTCTACGAGTGCGCCTCTATAATAGCTTCATCCTACCAATCCTGCTTTATAACTGGCACATGGAGTCTCACGGGGACACAGAAGCGGAAATTGGACTCGTTCCACAGGCAGCAGCTGCGAACAGTGATAGGCATTAAATACCCGCTCATAATAAAGAACACTTCCCTGTATAAACGCACAGAATCTCGCCCCGTGAGCCAAATCATCAGAGATGCTAGATGGAGGCTGTTTGGTCATGTGCTGCGTTTGGGAGAGGCAGCCCCAGCCAGACGTGCCATGGGAGCTTGCTTCTTAGGGGGTAACGGCCCCAGCTTTAGGGGACGCCCAAGAACAACGCTCCCGCGAACGCTCAATAATGATTGATCTCAAAAAGCTGAAAAATAATACCGCCCTAGAGACTGGCGATGACTTGAACATGCTGCAGCAGCTTGCCCAAGACCGTCGACAGTGGCGGGAACTGGTGAAGGCTGTATGTAGCTGCTAATGAAACAATGGACATAATTTATACCTTTATATATAGATAATGGAGATGACTGCAACAGGCTGCAGCAGCTCGCCCAGGACCGCCCTCAGTGGCAGGACCTGGTGAAGGTTGTATGTAGCCGCTAATGCAATAATGGACATAACTTTGCGTTTCCATCTTGTCTTTTTTGCGATTGTGATGCTTGATGTGCACTGTGCTTCCTCGCATTCACTTGCTCCTTCTTGCAGCTTGTCTCTTTTTTCTGTTTTTTTTTTGTTTTGTTTTGACGCTCTGTGTGCATTGCGCTTCCTCGCGCTCACTTGCTCCTTCGTGCGGCTTAAGCGAAGGCTATACGTGAGCTTTATAAGCTCACTGATGCTAACTCGAACAGAGCATAATAATAATAATAATAATAAAAGTAGAAAGGAAAAGGACATATGGAAACGAGTTAAGAGTAACTCTCCACCACTGTAACTAGATACTATACGAAGCTAGGTGTCAGGACGTCGAATGTCTCAGTGTACTCTGTCAGTTTTGTGCCTAGTTGTTGCACTTTCTGACTGTATATAGTATCTAGTTACAGTGGTGGAGAGTTACTCTTAACTCGTTTCCATATGTCCTTTTCCTTTCTACTTCTATTATTGGCTCAATACCCGAGTTTCAAATAATAATAATAATAATAATAATAATAATAATAAAACAGGTCGCGTAATGAAGCAGCATAACGATAGATGTGCAAAGTCATGATGCCTGGTCCGCTTCTGTCCTGGGTTCACTACCCCGTACGTTGCAGCCGCAAGCAAAACCAGCTCAGGCTGAGAGTTCCCTCCATGATTGGTCAGAATGGTCAATTCAAATATGTTGCGATTTTCTCCAAAAATCGAGATTTTCAAAAATTGATATAGTGTCCTAAAGTTTGATTCTAAGGAGACATTGCACGGAATCACGGAATCACGTATAAGGTGAGACATGGACAGAGCAACCTGATGGACACTGGAACTAGACCAACTGCACCATTATTGTTGTGTCAATGATTAACGCCAATATCGCACCCCCTGACGCCAGGCGGGCTCTTGTGAACTCAAGATGTATGCGCTCGATTCAGCACTTGTTACAATAATGGACAATTAATATCAATACTTTACACTACCTCCACTTAGCAGCTTCTCCTCTTCACACTTTTAAACGCTTCACGCATTCTTTTTGAGCGCCTTGCTGTCTGGCTGTGTATATCTTTAGTGGACCTGACAGCACTGCTGTAGTTAGATATGTTGCCTGAAGATTGAAGACTCAAGAAACTCTGAGTAGCAACGGATTGTGTTTTCTTGGTGAGGACCGCTTCCATTGTGTACTAGCTCCAGTGTACCCCAGCACTAGCGTGTCACCTCAGGCAGTAGAGCGGGTCCGAGCTCAGAGAAATACTCGGTCGGTGAACCTCTGCGAATTCCGTAGGGATGTCACCTACGCAGGGCTGGATGATTTTTACTAACACACGGGATGTGGACACCATGTGGGCGTCGTGGCACACCCAGTTCTTGGCTGTCGTGGACAAGTATGCACCCATCACCTATGTATCCTCCAATCGCAAATCCCATCCGCCCTGGTCCGACAGAGAGCTCCACAAGCTCAACCAACGTAAAAACCAGCTACACCAACGGTGGCTACGCAATAAGGGAAATCAGAATCTTCACGTACAGTTCAAGCAAGCACGCTCAAGCGCCAGAAATGCCTATAGCCGAAAGCGCAACGATTTCTTCCGAGCGAAATGTGCCACGTCCAGTCAGAATCCGTGTAAGTTCTGGAACGTCATAAACTCCGTTACGAACAGGAAGAGAGTTCGTGTGGAGTGTACTTGCCCCATTGAAGAAGTTTCGTCAGTCTTCCAGGCAGTAGTAACAGCCAAAGCCCGTCCTCACAGCATCCCGCTACCGCAAGGTCCACAGCTTCAGACTGCAATGTCAAAATTGCCGCAAGTGTCTTTTTGGCGAAGTAGAACGGTTTCTCCGACAAATCAATCCTTCCAAAGCTACAGGAAGCGACCGGATACCTGGCCACCTTCTGAAGTGCTGTGCCGATATCCTAGCTGCGTCCGTGGCCACGTTGTTTAATGCCTCGCTTGTCAATGGCACTGTCCCCACAGCCTTCAAACTCGCACACGTTATCCCGCTGTTCAAAGCTGGGGACCCGTCTACTCCCACTAACTACTTCCGTCCAGTGTCCCTACTTCCCATATTGTCAAAACCCTTGGAGAAAGTCGTACAAAAGAAGCTAGCCCAGTTTCTGGACATATGTGGTACCCTCCCCACGACTCAGTTTGCATTCCGCGCAGGCCACTCAACGGAGGATACCCTGGTACTTATGCTAAATCGTACTCTCATTGCACGGGACAAGTGTTTGTCTGCTGGCATATGCCTTCTAGATATGTCAAAGGCATTCGACAAGGTTCGTCATGAACGGCTACTCCAGGACCTATTCGATATCGGCATAACAGGGAGAGCCCTAAAGTGGTTTTCCGCCTATCTGTCTGGCCGGACTCAGCGTATCTGTATTGGACGGTCAGAGTGCCATTTCTGCACCATCCTGTGGCGTGCCACAAGGTTCTGTTCTAGGACCGATCCTTTTCAGTAGCTACACCCGCGAAGTTCCAACCATAGCTAACCAGTCTCATCGGTTCAATTTGCCGATGACATCGCGCTGATCAGCAGCAGCACATCCCTCGACACAGTATCTGCTACGCTATCGGCTATCTGCCCTTGCTGACTGGTTGCAGACGCGTGGTCTCATTTTGAATGCAGCCAAGAGTCAAGTGATCCCTGTATACCCCAACAGGCAGCCTGGGCAGCCGCAGCACACGATCAATGTAAACTGTCATGAAACGCCGAATCCTGTCGTTACTGCGGCCAGGTATCTTGGAGTGCTCCTCGACTCGGATCTGTCATGGACGCCCCATGTTGATCGCTGCATCGCTCGACTGGCCCAGAGGATCGGAGCACTATGGAGGTTGCGTCGCTGCTTGACTCACCAGAGCCGAGTTCTCTAATTTAAAGCGATCATCATGTCTGACCTAATGTACGGATCCACTGCGTTCTCCCCACTTCTTACTGCCAACCAATTGGATTGGCTACAAGTCATGCAGAATCGGGCGGCAAGGGCGGTTTTCGGACTCTCGCATCACACCTCCGCGCGCACCCTACTGCTGAAATTGGACACCTACAGAGTATCCGAGATATTCAGGCACACGTTTATCGTTCTTGTCTGGAGGTCTCGGAATGGGCACGCAAGTTCTGATCTGCAAGCCCTCCTAGTTCCTTCATCAGCTGGCCCAACTAGGTTGCACTCCACCATGGGTCTGCGCCAACCGCCAGTTTGCACCAGGTTTGGCAAGGGTTGCCTCGCGTTCCGGGGCGCCCAGCTGTGGAATACCTTACCCAGCAATATACGTGCCATCTCCACGCTCCGCCAGTTCCGCGCGAGCATGATCCCGCACACACTTAGTACCTAGAGTACCAAACGTCCTGTTTGATGATCAGCTGGCTTAGTTTCTCTCCACCTCTGTCCTTATTACATCCCTCCCCCATTTCACTAATTACTGCTTTCTATCTGCATTCGCCACCTTTTCATTGGGCTGCCCGTTTGGTTTGCGAATTAAAATAAACACAACAACAACAACAAAAACAACAACAAGCCCTTATTGGCGATGGTGCCATCGTGAGAATAAAGAATTCAAACAACAACAACAACACTATTGAGCCCTGTTTGCGGTGGACAGGATCACTTCCCCCCTATTTGAGTAGTTCAATAGCCAATTGAGTAACCTTTCCAAGATTACTTTTGAATCTCTCTCCCATTTCCTGGGGAGAACCAAGGGACCAGTTTTGGCATTGAGAAAATACGAAAACGTCATGTGTGCGTATGTGTGTATATGTTTGTGTGTGTGCGTGGTGTGTGGGTGACCCATATGGTGCAGTGGTATGTGCAGTCGATTTCCAATCGAGAGGTTGCGGGTTCAATTCCCGACGATTATGGTCGCACACGTCTTTCGTCTCTTTCTCAATCTCCCAGCTCTTCTTTCATTCTCCTGGGTGGCTAGCAACAGTCAGAGTATGCCGGAGTATGTGGTGTGGTGTGTGTGTGTGTGTCAAAAAATTAAAAATGAATGGAAAATGTCAAAATGAAAAATAGGGATTCACTGGCCAGAAAAAGCCACTTCAATCAGCTGTGTGGTGGACACCAGGCTAAACATTAGTGGCGGTCAATGTATCAGCCTTGCAAGCTGTTGAATTGTGTAATCCCAGCACAAGTTGTTCGCTATCATCGCTTCCGCGAGGGGCATGTCTGAGGTCTGAGGTGTGTGGGTTTGCGTGAGGAAGCCATAACCATCATTGATACGGCAATGGGCGTTCAGGGTTGAAGGTTGAAGGTGTAGATTTATGAGAGAGAGAGAGAGTGTGTGTGTGTGTGTGTGTGTGTGTGTGTGTGTGTGTGTGTGTGTGTGTGTGTGTGTGTGTGTGTGTGTGTGTGTGTGTGTGTGTGTGTGTGTGTGTCCCGTATGGTGCAGTGGTATGTGCAGCGATTTCCAATCGATAGATTGCGGGTTCGATTCCCGACGATTATGGTCACACACGTCTTTCTTCTCTTTCTCAGACTCTTCCTGACTTTTCTTTCATTCTCCTGGGTGGTTACCAACAGCCAGTGCATGCCGGAGTATGTGGTGTGATGTGTGTGCGGGAAAAAAAAATGAAAAGACCAAAAATAGGGATTCACTGGCCAGAAAATGTCACTCCAAATAGCTGTATGGTGTAGACCAGGCTGAATAGTGACAGTCAATTCTTCAGCCTTGCAAGCTGTTGAATGGTGTAATCCCAGCACAAGTTGCTATGGCTTCTGCCGTAACATTGCTATCATCGCCTCCGGCGATGGGCGTCAAAGGTCAGGTCAGGTGTGTGTGTGTGTGTGTGTGTGTGTGTGTGTGTGTGTGTGTGTGCGTGCACACGTCTTTCTTCTCTTTCTCGGACTCTTCCTGACTTTTCTTTCATTCTCCTGGGTGGTTGCCAACAGCCAGTGTATGCCGGAGTATGTGGTGTGGGGTGTGTGTGTAGAAAAAAAATGAAAAATAGGGATTCACTGGCCAGAAAAAGTCACTTCAAACAGCTGTGTGGTGGATACCAGGCTAAAAATAGTGGCGGTCAATTCATCAGCCTTGCAAGCTGTTGAATGGTGTAATCCCAGCACAAGTTGCTATGTCTAACATAGCTGTTCGCTATCATCGCTTCCGCGATGGGCATGTCTGAGGTCTGAGGTGTGTGCGTGTGTGTGTGTGTGTGTGTGTGTGTGTGTGTGTGTGTGTGTGCGCGCCCTGTGCTGCATTCTCCCACCCTGCGTCGTGACTATCTCTCTGTCTACAGGAAAATTTTGGTGACAGTTAACATGTCAGCGACGGATACAAGTACCAGGTCAGCTTTTAAGGATGCCTTTTTCAATCGACGTAAAGGACCCTGCACGAGCGTTACGCCTACAAACCATTCAGTGACGAGGGACTATTACTGCCCCACGCTGGAACGCTGTGGGACCTGTAAGAGTTATGGCATGATAAAATTAGTGCCGGGTCATGATCGTTTGGTGATTGAATCCAGGTGCACCACGGTTAACGGTACAGAACTAGTGGAAAGACAGATCTACGCAACAGTAGGCCAAACCGCTATAGCGGATGCAGGATATTGCAAAGCTGTCTTCAAGGTGAAGCCCGCACCGCCGCCAGTATACAGAATGCTGTACATGGGTATTAGCGCTGCGCCTTCTTCGCCACGTCCCTGCCCTTATCCATCCACATCACCAACCAGACAACGGCCCACTAATGATTATCCCCCCAGCAACTCCACAGCCACGTCACAGAATGCCTCATCCATCACAACCCTAGGTGCCAATAGCGGCTCTGCGTCTCTGACACACTGGCAACTTGCACTTGTCCTCTCCGGCGTGCTTGCAGTATCACCAATTCTCCATGGGCTCGTGTAGTGAGTGCCGTGTACACACCACGCATACAGTCATGTACATGTACAATGCATGACGTAATGCTCATGGTTACCTCACTGATCTGCATGCACGTGACTGTGCACACATTGGCTCAGAATGCGATCGTGTCGCAAAGCCACCACGTGACTGTACACGCCTGCATAATATTAATAACCGGCTATATTGCTTGCACAGCAAAATGACGAGTGGACCAAGCCACCCATGCACTGCAGAACGTACGATCCGAGCGGCCAGACTCAATCACAATCTGTATCAGGAACACAGTGGATCACTAACAGCCCCCACCCCAACCCATCCCAACCCCCACCCACGCCACCCCCACAAGGAATGGAAATAATGTACAATGTACACAACAGCGGGATTCCCCGGATCGCTAGAATGTTCCTCAGACCACACTGTACAATACACGTGCAATCATGTAAATCTACAATCTAGGTGAAAGAGAATTGTCTGGAAAGCAGCAGCAGCAGCAGCAGCAGCAGCAGCAGCACCAGCAGCAGAATGACTACCCTACTCGCAACACGTCTGCCAGCAAGCATCATCCACAATCCGCAGTGACGGAGCGCTACACAGCTGACATCATCCCTATAGCGCCACACAGCCGACATCATCCCTAGCTCTAACAACCGGCAACAGCAACAAGACACAGATAACTGGTTATGATTGCATTCGTAATGTAGGCAATTCATACTTTTGCTTTTTTTCTCACCCACTACTGTCCCAACATTATGTTACATGACACTGTACATGTACATGTACGTATGTACGTACATGACTGCATTATTAGATTACTACAGTTAATGTGCACTGTACATGTGCGTGCGCGTAAGTCATCGGCATGTGTGTGTGCGTGCATGCGTGCGTGCGTGCGTGGTCATGTTTGTGCGTGTGCACAATAAAGTCAATAGTATGCATTATTGTATGCATGTCACGGTATGGTATAATTATGATCAACATGTAACGTTGTCTATGCGTTTGTGCACCAGACATACATTATACATGTACATGTACATGATGATACTGTCTGCAAAGTCTTCTTTCTCCTACACTCCTCTCGTGTCCTTTCCCACTGCTCTTAGTTTTTTTCTGTAGCTCTTAGCTGACACATGTACATGTAGCTATTGTGCCGGCGATGTTATGATTTGTGATTGCCCGCACAAGAGGCTTTCCACACCTTTCCACTAGATCTCCTGTGCTTCCATACCCGACATGCATGTTGTGGCACTACTGTACAAATACGAAGTTTCGTCTGGAATTTTTGTATTTGTATTTATATCATTATCTCATGGCACATCATGATGACGGCCAATAAAACTGAGACAAGGGTGAAAGCCAACCACAGCAGTAAAACAGATAAAAGAATACAAATAAGAGGCAAAGAAGGCAAAGGAGGAGACAAACCAGCAGGATATACATGAAACCTATAATTGAGCAGAGATTTTAGCAACAAAATTATCCATCGACGTGCTGGTCTTGGCCTGCGTTGGTAATGTTGCCCAAAACACATAGCCAGCAAAGATCGGGGATCTAGTGAATAGGGTGGAGGCAGCGCGTGGGAGACTGAGTGAGTTCCGGGTATTCCGTGTTTCGGAGAACCAATTATAAGCCTGCATATGCAAGGGTATTTTATTTAGTAATATTTTATGTATGAGAACACAGAGGTGGTAATTATGTCGAGTGGAAAGGGGACTGATCTTGGCAATTTCGTAAAGACTAGCGGAGGGAAAGCGACGATCTTTGCTAAATAAGATTTTAAGGAGCATGCGGTTATGGGTTTCTAGCTTGTTCAATACAGTAGTAGTTATGCCACACCAAGCAGTATCACAGTAGTCAAGTAAGGGCAATATATAGCAACGATAAAACAAGCGTTTGCAAGAAAGAGGAAGATGTCTACAGTGGGCTTGACGAGCCCCAAGGATGGAGCTTGTGCGCTTGCAGACATACTGCACATGGGGTGACCACGACAATTTAGAGTCAATAATAACGCCAAGATGCTTATGCTCTTCAACAATATGAATAGCAACACTTGAAGAAGGAAAACAAAGTGGCAGGGAAGGGGGAGAAGGGGAAATGTACATAGCTGCCGTTTTATCAACGTTTGGCTGCAACTTCCAATCATGCATCCAGGTTATAACTTTCCCAATGCTATCTTGCATGGCTTCGTGCAGGCGTATAGGGCAAGCATTGGAGCAAAGCAGAGCTGTGTCGTCAGCGAAAAGGCTGACGCCAGGGGCAATATCGGGGAGGTCATTAATATACAGGAGAAATAGCAGTGGCCCAAGGATTGAACCCTGGGGGACTCCAGAAGTAACGGGTAAAGGCTCCGATAACACAGTTGAGAGGCGTACAAGCTGATGTCGGTTAGAGAGATACGATGAGAGCCAGCCGATAGCCTTGCCATCAATGCGATATACTGTTCGCAGCTTAGCTAAGAGACCCCTGTGCCAAACAGTGTCGAAGGCCTTTGCGAGATCGAAGAAAACTAAACCAACATGGTTATGGGCGTTCCGGGCGGTGTGGATGTCTTGCACGAGGCGGGTAACCTGGTACCTGGTGGAGTCACCCCGACAAAAGCCCGACTGTGCTGGCGAAAGTGAAATGCGAACATGATCATAAATGATGTCATATACAACACGTTCGCACACTTTTGATAAAGTAGAGAGCAATGAGATAGGGCGATAGTTGCTGGGGGTGGTGCGTGGTCCTCTATTTTTGTAGGTGGCCACGACTACCGCAGTTTTCCACATGGCTGGGAATTTCCCTTCACGAAATGACATATTCAAGATAATTGACACAGGATAGGCAACAGACGGAGCAAGAGCTCTCCAAACTTCGTTGGTAATTCCGTCTTGACCAGGGGACTTGCCAGTTTTCAGATTACGGAGATATTTCCTCACTTGGGCTGTACCAGTCGACAATGATAGGAGGGACGCAGGTATTGAGGGTGAAGGGGTGAGTGGTGGTATAGGCCACGTAGGGTCGTCAGGAAGTCCAAACGACGTAAACTGCGTGTTCAATATGTCTGCTATGTCTGCGGGATCTGTTGCTACCGTGCCGTCTGAAGCTGTCATTGATCGGATCGGCTCCCGACTACAGTTCTTACGGAGATGGCGGAGAAATTGATGGAGACTAGGGCGATCATGGGAAGACAGGGTGGCATGAACCGACTGTACATACTGACGATGGAGGGTACGTGACAAACATTTCACTTCGTTACGCTTGCGCTTAAAGGCAATGAAGTTTTCACTGGCTGGATACTTCCTATAAATGCTATACAAATCTCGCTTCAGTTTCACAGCACACTTGAGGTCCGGAGTGATCCAGGGTCGGGATGCATCCCGCATAGTAGGACGAGGCCTAATGTAGTCTCCTGTCCGCGGAATAACTTTGTAAGGCAACAGATGACGATGGAATGCTGACTGTAGTAAAGCATCAAACAGGACAATGGCATCATCAACATCAGAATGCCGATGAAGTAATGACCAGTCCAACCTAGACAAGTCTTCATTCACAACCTGCCAGACACGGGTAGGCACTTGTTTATACCTGTACTGAGCCTGGGGATGGAGGGACGATTTAGCAGTCGCTTGTGGTGTCGAGCACGATGCATAGTTGAGCGTACAAACAACCTGCAGATGATCAGATGTGCCAAGAGGAGCTGCGTGGTCGACTGAGAGGACGTGTCGGGGTTTGTTGGTTACCAACAAGTCAAGACATGAGTTGGCACCCGCTGATGAAGTGTATGTTGGGAAACTCACTAGTTGTTGGAGCCCAAGCATTGAAAAAACTGTCTGTAGGTTGGTACCGGCTGTAGAGGTGGAGTCAGAAGAGCACCAATCATTATGTTTGGCATTAAAATCCCCCGTCAGGAAGAAGTCACACTCGTCATAGCAAGAGGACTGTATAGCATCGACCAGCATATCCGAGAAGAAGGACAATTGTTCCGCCGTTTGGGAAGGGGGTCGATACATGCAACATACAAGAATAGGGTTAGGGGTGCATTGAGACTTAACTTCCACCCAGGTAGATTCACAGCCCTGACGCTGCAGGTCGGGTCTGTGGAGAATATGTTGAAAAGCATCAGTCCGGACAAGCACGGCGACACCACCATATCCTCTAGTGAAAGAGTGTGCATTTCTGTTCTCGTGTGCTGGTCTGTCTCTTCTAAAACAGGAATAGCCCGGTACATGCACGGAAACAGATGGGCACAGCCAGGTCTCCGTGAGGCAAACAATACTTGGCTTAGTGCTCTCCAGAACAATCGAAAGTTCAGCTAATTTATTGACGAGAGACCGACAATTCATGGTTATCAGCGTTAGGTCGGATTCTGATCTGGGGTAGAATGGGGTAGCATAGACAACATGATTATGACGAGGAACTATCACCACCACGTTCAGTCACGTTGGTACCGTCGGCAAAGCGCCACTTACGGACAGTGTGGCTAATTGTTGCCGGCCAAAATCCTGCACTGAGTATTTTGCCTTCATCCGTCGCTAGGACAGTCAGTCGTGCATATGCTGTGCCAAAGGTCCGGGATTCGCTAATACTGCAATTGAGCACCTCAACCTCACGGTCCTTGCACCAGTCAGTAATTGCGTTAGCGCTACACTCCATGTGGACATTGCCCACGTAGAACACAGATTTCGCGACTTTTTCTACGCCTGTAAGGATGTTGGGGTTAGCTGGGGCCACAGGCTTCACGTACCGGGACGTGACCCGACGCCGTACAACTTCGGCCCAGCCATCCGAACTGCTTCCCGTATATTCACTTGTACTAGTTGTAGCCAATGTTGATCTGGTTGGTGCAGCCGATGGTGTTTCAGTGCGTGATGAGGTCTGGTGTACATGTGTCGATGTTTGGGAAGTGCGGGTACGGTTGGTAGAGTGTGCGTTGGGGGGAGTACGAGTCGAGAATTAACTTTCGCTGCGTTCGTTAGGGGGCACGAAATAACTATAGTTCGTACCAGACTAGCGTTTTTTCTTCTTCTGAACGTTCGGGATGATAGACCTCGACCAAAAACGAAATTTAGTACATAACGAACCTGCTGGTGGAGTAATCTAAGGAACGATTTCGTGAACGAAAATTTGTAGTTATACAGTATCTATACATGTACATGTACACAATAGCTTACATGTACATGTAAAGTAAGTAAAAGTAAATTATCGTGTCCGTTCCCAAAGGGAACTCACGACGGCCGCTAACATCCGACAAACCCTAGCGGCAGATGCAGCGCCTAACGATGGGGGTGAGTGGATAAGTCTCACAACCACTGGCACAAGTGCTTAAAACGACCCCATTAGCTGCATCCATGTACCCCTTGTGCCTGTACATGTATATGTAAGTAACTATTCTAGTACAGTAAAACCTGTCAAGGCGACCACTCGGATGAGGCGACCACCTCTCCAAGAAGATCACTGAAACCAGGATCAAGGAATGCTATCTCCAGTCAAATGACCCTGGATAAGGAGACCACCTGGTAACAGAGACCACATTTTGAAGGGGCCTTGTCTTGAGCGGTCGTCTTAGACAGGTTTCACTGTATACCGGATACGTACATGTACATGCCTGCTGATTGTAGTAATACGTGTAACTCAGAGTTGGGACACAGCTTCCAATCTCTCTTCTGTGCACAAGTTAGCAATGGCACTAGGCTGAAGTACAGCGCTGGCAACGGAAATCCGACCCCTGAGCGGTGCGCTCACATCGCAAAGACCCAACACGGGATTGTAAACTACGAAACAGAGACCGCTAGAATGTGAACGCACCGCCCAGTGGTTGGATTTCAGTTGCCAGGACTGCATGTTGTTACTCAGGCTTCAATGCTATCCACCAGTGTGAGGATTATCCACCGATCCTCAGAGACAATGTTCTCTGAAGATTATCCATTGCGATCTTGTGTGTTTTGCCTCTACCCTCGTGGCAATGACCACTTTTGCAAGGGTTTGAACTGCACAGCCTGTCCTGTTTATGTATTTTATGTACGTGTACAATGTACATTGTTTATGTACATGTGCATAAGGACAGCTCATCGGGTGTGCAAGAATGGAGTCGGATGGAGAGCCAAGGATAAATGTATAGAAAAGAAAAAAGGATCAAGAAACTGCTTGTACAAGTTGCACTATACTAGTAATGTCCACTAACACCACCAGTCACTAAAAAATCAGCTCATGCGATAACATTGCACGACACCGACCGACAGTACAGCACAGTACCCTCATATGTTGTCATTATACCTTAGAACCTTCCAAGTTGGAAGGCTGTTGGAGTGCGCATCCAAGGCGTGCTAGAGCTGATAGCCAGTTCGTCGTAGAACGCCAGTACCGTCGATCAGTGTCATGCAATGTTATCGCATGACAGGGACGGCGGATTATGCTCGAAAAGGTGGCAGATTCTGCTCGAAAAGCAGTGAAATTTACGGTAACCATACAAACCTTATGGCGGGCAATTCCTCGAATTCTGCTCCATTTTTTATCCACATACCAAACATGCATGAATCTTACCAGAAAAAGCACCGAATTCTGCCAATTTTTCTGCCGGCAGAATCCGCCGGACCCTACGCGCCATGAGCTGATGTTTTAGTATCTGGTGGTGTTAGTGAACATTATAGCGTAACTTGTAGTTCCTTGGTCATTTTTCTTTTTCTATAAATGAACATACATGAAGGTATAGTTTATGTGCATGAACATACATGTATGTAGAAAGGAAAAGGACATGTGGATACGAGTTAAGAGCAACTCTACATCACTGTAACTGGATACTATATACAGTCAGAAAGTGCAATAACTAGGCACAAAACTGACAGAGTACTGAGACTTTCTGACTGTATATTATAGCATCAGGTTACAGTGATGGAGAGTTACTCTTAACTCGTATCCATATGTCCTTTTCCTTTTTACATTTATTTATGGCTCAACATCCGAGTTACATGAACATAGTTAATACAAAAACAAAGTGTCTGAAGTGCTTGCTGCAAATAGTACTCGATACACCAAAATGGGCAGAGCGTAATACACAGGGCACGCCTGATGAGTGTTCTTCAACACGAAACTCGGAGTAACGAGAAAGATGTTTGGTCTCTGTTGTTCTGCCTTGTGTAGTTATTACATACATGTACATGGACATGTCCATGTAACGCTAACTATACTGCTTGCGCAGTGGTGGCAGATGAAATCCGACCATGTGGCTCAATCTCCGGACAGCTACATGTGAAACAGCCACATGTAGCCGTCCGGAGATTGAGGGTATGTGTTTGCATACGTCGAATCCTTCGCCTCGCCTTGGATCAGTACTATTTTCTGGTTAGCGTCAAAGTTACCAACCTTTGTGGAACGATCGCTGTGCTTGTAGCAGTTAAAGTACTGTGACTTTGACGCTTTAAGCTCAGCCGGTTTTAAAATACTTTGGTCTTTCGTTAGCCTTCATAACCATGGTGTAGTATTGTTTCTTCTTCAGTCCAAAACAACAAGAGCCCAGAGTCAAACCATGCACAGCAACTAAAAGCCGCGAAGTCCGTTTCACGCGCGCGCGGGAAACGGCACATGCTACATGCATAACATCACGATGTACTACTACTACTACATGCATCATGAATGTCTGGAGTGGCCAAGGAATGCCACAGCCCGTAGGAACACGTGAACACTACACATGGGTTTGGCCGAACACTCTCAGCTCCACTGACGAGACCTAGCATTGTTAAACCGGCTGAGCTTAAAGCGTCAAAGTGATGTTTCCACAAAGGTGGATAACTTTGACGCTAACCAGAAATAGTGCTCCTCCAAGGTGAGGCGAAGGAATCCAAGTATTCAAACACATGCTTTTAAGTTGGAGACGGTTACCAAAATGCTCTTACGCTCATAACAAAAAGTAGTAAAGATGCATAAATGGGTTCAGAACGAGGAAACAGGGTACATGTACAGTATAGTGACAAAGAAATAGGGCACTGTCACCTTCTTCAAGCGACAAGAAACGGCAGTTGGTAAATGTCAGAAACAATGTGTTGTTTTTCAAGCTCCAAACATTCCATTGGCGCGCTATTGATATAGGCTGTATAATGTACATGATTGTACATACATATACACTGTACATGTACATGTACATGTATATGCACGTGAATAATAGTGACAATGGAATACTCCAGCGTATTATAAGACTTGGTAAAGGTGATAATTTCAAGAGATGATTCATCGGCTGCAGTGTCCTGCAGCTGCAAATACATAATACTGTTTTGCAGAAAGCACGTGTGTATAATGTCCTAGTGTAGCAGCAGAGTGAGATAAGGTCCCACAGCACATCGTGAGATGGACAGCCAAGAAGACCGTACTTTAGGCTACAAAACGTTAATTAGTACTGTTTCTGATAATCGCTTAGCCCTTTGAGAGCTGTCCATACTTTCATGTGTAGAATCCTACACACTCGACTGTGAGACTTCAACAGGCCGTAACTCGGTCAAAACCTAGTAATAGTGCGTGAAACTCAGAGTTAAAACATCTTCCCGTCCTCTCATTGTTTGTACTGTAGCCACATGTACATGTAAATGACTGTAGGCATTGCTGCTACATGTACATGTATAAGGGTCGACATGCCTGCATGCACAGCACATAACAATAGAGAACAACAACAACAACAACAACGACGACCACCATGATGACTACAACAAAAGAACATACCACTTGACTGTGCTGGTAGTGCGCAACACAGGGCGTGTAGATGCTAAACGAGCTGTGCATGTACATTGTATGTTCAGATGGGAGGAGATCCAGAATAAGCGTACATGTACGTCATTGGCTTATCCTGACAAGAAGACGCCTCACAGACTCAGATCTGGCAGAGCTGCGTGACAGTGGTGTAGATCGATGTGTGAGGGGTCACTGCGGAGGGTGCCTCACACTGCTTCTGCTGCTGTTGCTGCTGCTGCTGCTGCTGGTTCTGCTGCTGGTAGTGAAGCTGCTGCTGTTGCTGCTGTTGATTGTAGGATTCAAGGAAAAAACTGCCAATCTCCAAATTGTCCAGTTTGCACTCCGCAGCCAGACTGTCCAGCTCTTCGGCTGTGAGCGGACCATCTGCATCAGCTCCTCCCGCTACCACCATGGAGTCTTCCTCTCTGCCGTCCTCCTGGCTCCAGATGGCGCTCTGGACATCCGAGTCAGCCAGCACTGTTAGTAGACCAATGTACATTGTCGCGCGACGCAGTATCTCAATACGCGGCAGATCCTCCAGCGGCTGGCGGTGTCCGCCGCCATCAGCATCATCACTGGCGTCCGCCACGTCCACTGCGTCAGCGTCGGTTGATGTAGATGTCAACATGCGGGAGTCTGTGTCGCCCACGCCGCCGCTGGAAGGACTGGTTATGTCCACGGGGGAGGGGGTAGCAGTCGTCATTGTGTTCCTGTCAGTAGTATTACTGCGCAGCACGACATGTTCGCTTCTCCCATCACCAGCAAAACTGTCTGTCGTCATGGTCGTAGGGGAGGACAAATTACTGTGATCACTGCCGCTCATCCTAGTAGTAGTAGTAGTACTGCTGTTGGTGGTGCTGCTGATGCTGCTGCTGGCGGCGCTCATGCTGCTGCTACTGGACGTCTTGGCACAGCCGGGCGGAAGGGCGCGCTGGAGGCGGCGGAACGCGGCGCGCATCTCGACGGCGCGCACCCTTGCTCGCTGATTGCACGTGATGCGGAATTCGGAGATGAGGCGACGCGAGCGCTGCTTGGCGATGCCGCGACGCAGAAAGAGCTGCTTGGGATCCACGGCAAGTGCTGAGTCGAACACAAACGAATCGTCATCGCCACTCTCATCGTCTTCGAGCACATCTCTTAGAAAGGTAATGTAGTCAATGGCGCGTTTTACAATATCCATCCTCCGGAACACAGGCTCAGCTCTATCCTTGGGTAACTTTCGGGACAGTTTCTCGAAGGCAAGGCGCAGGTTGCGCACCCTGAGGCGTTCCCGTGCGTTGGCCACAGCTCGCCGTGGCTCCGGTACGCCGCTCCATGCTGCGCCGTCTTCCGACTTCGTCGAGCCTTCAACTGTGTTGGGTCCGTCAGTGTTGCCATCCAAAATGGCGCCGCCACCACTATCACTACAGCTGCTTCCAGAGCTTGTTGTTGATGATTCTGACGTGGGAGTAGTGGGTGTTGCAGCCTGAGGTCTAGCTACAGCTCTATAGCTATTGCACACACTGGTGTTATTGTCATCGTGCGATTGGCTGGCACGAGTGCTACTGCTTCTAGTGTTGGGGGGTTGGCTGGCTGGAAGCTCCTCGCCCTTGCGAGGGGCACCATGCGATGAGGCGCATGTGGTTTCCACATCAAGAGTGACCCTAGACGTCCACGCTGCTGTGTGTACCGCTGACCACGCACTAGCAGCTATTGCAGCTGACAGGTCGGCTTGCTCTCTGGCTACTGCTCCCTGGTGAGCGGTGCTGATGCCTGTGCTGTTGTGACGGCTTTGCGGATATAGCGACGCTGTTGCTGAGCGTTTGGATGCCGGCGCAGGTTTAGTTTGTAGCGTGTTGCTGGCATATCTGCTTGCGCTTCGCGTGGTGTTGTCACTGCTGCTCGTACTGCAGAGTAGATCATCCATAGCCAGGTACGAGTCCCATTCTGCCATCTGACGAGCGTCGTCACCTTGCGACTCGAAGCTGAACAATCCCGCGGTCACTCTGTCATGATCCGGGTTCAGCAGAGACAAGGGTCGAAGTACTCCTTCCATCGTGCCGGGCCCAGTGGAGATCTTCACAAGAACTGAAAGAGAAAGAGGTCCTGGAGAAAAGCTCCACTTGCTTTCGGCAAGGGGTGAACTGAGAAAGTAGTGGAAACCTGCAGTTGTCGCGTATTTATCAGCCCGAGAGTTCACGTCAGGACCGGAACTGGGGCGAAAGATAATTACTATGCCATTGGACACTCAGAAAGTCCATGATTTGATCAGCACGTGTATTCCGGGTACCGACGACATGACTGTATCGTGCGCAGGCATAACGCAATCACTATCAGTATAAGACAGTATAAGTATAACACTCAGTGGGTAGAGTGTGCATGACTGGTCCCTGGGCAGTAAAAAGTGTGCGGCGCAGACGCGTGATCCAAGACCGTTTCTTGTTTTCTTTCACTTTTTCTTGTCACAACCCCTCGTACGTTTTGCTGGTTTTACAACAACGTTGTGTTCATCGTACTCATCTCAAAACGAACCATACGAAATGCGCTGAATCGAAGCTAAAAGCGAGAACTAGAAAATCTTGTAACATCCTGAACACCTGCAAAGTTTGCGTAACAGTTCGTTTCTGTGACCGGCAAAGGGTAGCAGCGGGTTCCGTGCATCGGACAGTGTGCGATGGCGCACTGCAACGCCTTTTGAATCATTTTGTTTCGGCATATTTCTCCACTTATCAGCACCAAATCGGGCCCCGGGAAGATAGCGACTGGAAAATGGTTACCCGGTGCATTGCCGAATCCCTGCTCGAGCTTTTTTGCCAGGATGCGTTCTCGTTCCGGTCTGTGGAGCCGGCTGCGCCGAGCCTCCTTCCTTGTGCAGCTTTCCATGCGGCGTCTGGGGCCTGGAGGATGTCACGGCTCGTCCAAGTTAGTTGTAGTCAAACGCTAGAGATCAGGCTATTAATGTCTAGTTGACCACAGACTGGAACGGAATGGACGGGTTCCGGCTCTACTAGCTCAGTACATTGTATGTTGCGAAGACCCCGAGAAATACATGTACATGCTACCCGTGCCAGAACTATACACCGGAGACGCTCTTCGCTTTACAGTGTGTGTTGATCCTATCAAGACACTGCTTACGATCCGGATCGTGATCTGTGTAGACTCCACACCTTGCCATGATAAATTCCACCCGTACTAATCTAAAGCTGGCTACTGCTAATCCATGTACACAGTTCTTACTTTCATGGAAGAGGGAGAGAGAGAGAGAGAGAGAGAGAGAGAGAGAGAGAGAGAGAGAGAGAGAGAGAGAGAGAGAGAGAGAGAGAGAGAGAGAGAGAGAGAGAGAGAGAGAGAGAGAGAGAGAGAGAGAGAGAGAGAGAGAGAGAGAGAGAGAGAGAGAGAGAGAGAGAGAGAGAGAGAGAGAGAGAGAGAGAGAGAGAGAGAGAGAGAGAGAGAGAGAGAGAGAGAGAGAGAGAGAGAGAGAGAGAGAGAGAGAGAGAGAGAGAGAGAGAGAGAGAGAGAGAGAGAGAGAGAGAGAGAGAGAGAGAAAGAGAGAGAGAGAGAGAGAGAGAAAGAGAGAGAGAGAGAGAGAGAGAGAGAGATGGAGAAAGGTAGGGAAATAACGAGGAAATCGTGAAAGCAGAGGCGGGTCAATAAAAACGTCGAGAATAGAAAAGATCAAGTCTATGCTGCGTACATGACTGTGCAAGAAACAATACTGCGCTTCTGAACATACAAACCCGTCACACTTTCTAGGTGGGGTATGGCATAGTCCTGCCCTATGCGATCGTGTTTTCACAATTTGGATCGTATACGTCTCAGAACTTCTCCACACTTGGTGACTTGGAGCATGCTTTATGAATAGGATTGTATCATTTGAAAGTCGTGGCACCATGAACACCTATCTTTTCAGGATTACGTTTTCCTATTGTGTTGGACCCAGGATATAATACTACTTTTCAGATGTATTCTTCTTGCACGCATATAACGTTAGAATGTACAGTAAACCATCTTTGTGTCATCTCTCGTAATCTATCTATCTGTGCCATTCATTACGAAGGCCATGTACATGTACATGTACATTGTATTATCCTCAATCTGCGGACAGAACTGTTTCGTCCTTGGTGGACTCATCATTGTATTTTCTGTAAATGTCACTCTCGAGCCAGGAGCTGCATTTGCCTGCTGGACCGTCCAAGTACCGGCAGCATTCACTGTAGCTATGGTCTTCGGCTTCCATCATCTGCCTCCATGGCCGGCCACGAACATCCATCCGCTCGCGGGTCCATTCTATGGAACACCTTGATATCGGACATTGTTAGTACCTGCACTTCGAAGTATTCCAGAGTATTCTAGTACATGTAAGATAAGCTCAGAACTCACCTGCCTTCCGCTCTGTCACTTCTCGTTGTGCTGAGATTTGTTTGTCTCGTCTTGTACACGTGTTGTTACGATTGCTTCCAGGGCGAAACAGGTCTGACCGCAGATTGAGTCCAATTGCTTCAATATACAGTGTACATGGACATGTCATTGAGCTTTAACTCCGTTCGGTTATGCGCGTTAGTACCTACTTGTACAAGTACAACTTACTAGTACATACATGTACATTTATAATGTCAAGTAATTACAATGATTGTAGTTTAGCACGTCACAGGAAAATGACGTGCAGCAAGCGCCTAGACCTCGCCGAGCTCTGGCCGTGGTCTCTCGCCTAGGCTAGAGTTCTACATTGTACTTTTCACTCGCTCCGAGAAGAATCCGAGGCGCTGGATACAAGTCATGGACAATTATGTACTTACATGATTGCACATTACTGATTAGACTTCATTGAGATCGATTCGGCCAGGAACGCTCAGCTCCGCGTTCCGCTGACGAGATCGAACCAGATTGAAACAACAGCAAACAGTCCAGAGCTTGAGTACATCATGGTTTTACATGACGAACTAGCGCTTTAGTACAGTCAAGTACCTCTGTTCTACGACAAAACTGTACACGTGATTGTTTTCATGTTCACGAAACATGAGACACCCTAAAAATAGCAGTCCTCCCCCCGACAAGCGCTATAGCGTGGGCAGTACCATGGGCACGCCTAGACTATAGTATAGCGTAGGCCGAGGGTGGCTGAGGCGGTACAGTGTTCGTGTGCATACAAATCAGATCAGAGCGCTGATGTCATCAGTGTACACAATCGCAGGGTCTGTATCCCACGCAATCTGTTATGTTGCTATATTTAGATCATGAGCTGAGAGTAACTAGCATTAGGGTTCTGTCAATCATCAATCATTGAGGACTTTTCTATTTCCAGACACTACAGTACAGTCCGACGTTGATCCTGCGTTCCTAACAATTTTCCCAAGCAGTACAATCATACTGAGGTTACTGTTGCCTCCTCGAGTTCTAAATTATTTGCAGATATGGCTCAACAAACCTGCAAAGTAGAACTCGCATTACCACGGTGGACAGCGGAAAACTGTACTTTAAATATCCTAGGCACTTCTTATCCCAACGTACAGTCCTGGCAACTGAAATCCGACCCCCTAGCGATGCGTTCACATTCTAGCGGTCTCTACTCAGTATTTCGTAGTTTTACTATCCCGTGTTGGGTCTTTGCGATGTGAGCGCACCTCTCAGGGGTCGGATTTCAGTGGCCAGCACTGCATGACATAATACTGCTGACATTGTAACAATAACAATAATATCTTTATTAGGATGACCCAGAGGCACATGTAACTCTAACAATACAGCCGTTATTCGGACAATGCCCATGCTAAACTAGAGGGTGCCATTTTATCAGCATACGTACTGAAGTAGGACGAAACAGTTCTGTCCGCAAATTGAAGAAGTACATGTATGCATGTGTGTGTTCATTATTTGAATTCGCAAGTACAGTAAAACCTGTCAAGGCGACTACTCAGATATGGCGACCACCTGTCCAAGAAGACCACTGAAAAAGGAAGCTACAGTCAACTTCGCGTATAACGACATTCGGCGGGGCATCAGAAAAGTGTCCTTATTCGCGAAGTGTCCTTATAACCGAAGTCCCATTTGAATGTATGTGAACCCATATTTTGTATAGTATGATATGCATATCAAAATCAAGCTCTTTTCTTGCTCTATGTCAATGTGTACTTTATTTTCATATTGCAGTTGAAAGGAACTAAAAATTCAATATGCAAGGGAAATCAATTGAAAAAATATGCCTTTTGAGCCATCTACAGGGCCAGAGACATGTACGTATGATGATTACTGTACAATCATGTACAACTACATGTACATTGTATACATACATGTATAGGTGTGCTGGTAAATCCAACAATTTTGAAGCCAACATAAAAAAGGAAGAAAAAGCCCCCCCCTTGGCTGCATTTTCTTGCATGTGTGCAATAATATCCATCACCGGTGCACCATAGGTTCTGGTACTTCTGCATGACAGGTACATGTACATGTACTTGACTGACAGGTACTTGAAATAGCTGTCAAAAGCCCAGAAAGTCGTTATTCAAGCAGTGAATATGACCACGGGCACTAAAAGCATGTCGCTATACGCGAATTGTCGTTATTCAGATAGTCGTTATATCCGAAGCTAAATGTATATAGTTAGATGGGACTTTGCTCTGGGCATGGAAATTCGGTCGTTATTCGCGAATTGTCGTTATATCCGCAGTCGTTATTAGCGAAGTTGACTGTACATGTATTTCCAGTCAAATGACCCTGGATAAGGAGACCACCTGGTAACAGAGACCACATGTTGAGGGTCCCTTCAGTGGTCGTCTTAGGCAGGTTTCACTGTACACACGGGCTACTAGACCAATAACACAGTATACATGTACAGTTGTGGCAAGTGAAATCCAACACTTGGCATAAGGGACTGCACCATGCAGTCTGCAGCCCCTGCAGCCCTGCATACGTACAGTACATGTGTTACATACAACTTTATCTGTCTGACGACAAAACTCGTACTCATCACAGTCAAGGTTCAAAAGGTGCTGGCAAAAATGAATGGGGATTGGATACCAATACTCCTTTAAATATGTGTACCATGTTTGTGAACTGTGTGTATCTACACTGTGACGTTTCGATCTGTTTGGGATGCATACGGCTCTGTAGTACAAATTAGGTGCAGTGCATTACATCATTGGTGCCCATTTGTGGCGCTGTCCCCTATGACAAGTGTCGGATTTCACTTGCCACAACTGTACATGTACGTACAGTGAAACCCGTCAAGGCGACCACTCGGATAACGCAACCACCTGTCCCAGAAGACCACTGGAACCAGGACCAAGGAATGCTATTTCCAGTCATGTGACCCTGTATAAGGAGACCACCTGGTAACAGAGACCACGTTTTGAAGGTCCCTTGAGCGGTCGTCTTAGGCAGGTTTCACTGTACATGGAGGCTCAAGTGCGAACGGAGTGAAGTACTGTAATGAGTTTATAGTAACGTTCTCCTGTACGGAAAGTACAATGTACATGTACATGTATATGTACAGTAAAACCTGGCAATGCGACCACTAGAATACGGCGACCACCTGTCCTAAAAGACCACTGAAACCATGACGATGGGTTGCTTTTTTTCAGTCAAATGACCCTGGATGAGGAGACCACGCTTTGAAGGTCCCTTGAGCGGTCGTCTTAGACAGGTTTCACTCCACATTATACACTGTACAGTGGAATCAAAGTCCAAGCACCACTATGAGTCCAATCACCGCTATGAGTCCAAGCACCGCTATGAGTCCAAGCACCGCTATGAGTCCAAGCACCACTATGAGTCCAAGCACCGCTATGAGTCCAAGCACCGCTATGAGTTCAAGCACCGCTATGAGTCCAAGCGCCGCTATGAGTCCAAGCACCGCTATGAGTCCAAAACCGCTGGACCTTATTACTTTCAAGCCAACATTAACAATAACAACCACTCTCCCACCAGGCTCTGCAAGGTCTTCAACTCTATTCAACGTCCCATTGAGCATAGGTTGATCTTGGAATGATCATAATAAGGATATATTAATTATGTAATATACCTTTCTATCTATGTCTAGGGTGCTGTGGTGGTAAGACTAAAATATACAATGATAAAGATGCACTATGTCATGGGTGGCATTCCTCGCTTGCGCTGTTCATGAAGATAAAAGAAGCAATAGGGATGTTAATGATGACCAACAGAAATATGATAATAATAATATTATCCTTTCATGTTCTATATGAAAGAATATGCTTGCACATAGACTAGTATTTAGTATTCGTTCACAGCCGTTTAACGGCTATGAATGAATTCTAGCTAACTTTTGAAGGGCATATTAGCACATGGTTAAGTGCACACACACAAACTCAAACGTGTGCACACACACATGAACTCAAACGAGCGCGCGCGCGCGCACACACACATAACTGTTACACACACACAAACATACACAAACACACACAAACACACGCACAAACACATGAACGTGATGCAAGCCAGAATGAAGGTGACAAGAGTTCAAGAGAACTCTACTGATGTCTTCAGTGGCCCGGCACCTTAGGCTGCAGAAACAGAGGCACAGTAGCGAGAAAGAAATTCTAATTCAAAATGAGGTACTGTAAAGCGTGAAATTTTCGCGGCGTTTTTAGTTCGCGTTTTCCGAATTCGGACAGGTTTGCGAGGTTTTAATTTTGCGATTGCAGAATGCCATTCTTGCTAAACCTGTGGCATTCTTGCTAAACCTTTCATGGATCTCCTTTTCACGCTGTCTAAATTTCGCGATTTCCACGCGGTCGCGAATTTCGCAGAAATTAGACCATCGCATTAATTTCATGCTTGACAGTACACGTTTAGAAAAGTCAGAAGAATTGCCCAGCATTCGAAGCAAATATCTTAGAACGCAGCGGGACTTTCGTCAATCAATCCATGCCTCCCATTCATTGCCAGCCTGACATAGATCATGCCGCCTTCTTCGTTTCGTAGTATTTTTACATGCAGTGAAATGGTTCAGTCTGGCATGCCTCCAACGGATGCTAACAAAATTTCACGGCTCACGTAAGACTCGGCAGGAGGACAAGTTTTGCGCGTCCGCCGTGGGAACGCCACCACCCTCTACGGGTCAATGTGATTTGTGTGTGAGCAGCACTAAACAATGACGACAAAGACGACAAGGACAACAACGACAAGGATGAGACCAACATCAGAGGCACGCTCCAGAACATACCAGTGGCGGCGGGTCTCATGTCCTCCGGCAATAGCGCGATCATTTGCTTGTAGCGCTCGGCGTGCAACAATGGACTCATTGCCAGAACTGCCTCACACAGATCCCTGTATGCCTTCTTCCCGCCGGGAACCAGGATGCTGACAACTCGACTGTTGTGAGCGTCCGCTCCCTCCATCTTTTCAATACGTTGGAGATCCTCGAGCTGCTGCAGGTCGTGAAACTGTCCTCTCGCCTGCAGCGCATTGCGCAGTGACTTGGCGTTCAGAGTGTTGATCCACAGCTGAATGTTGCACACAAACTCGTCGCAGTCGAACGGATCATCGCCTTCGCGAGTTGCGGAGCCGAAATGGTTAACGTTGAAACATACACACACGGGGCGTGAATGCACGTACACACACACATACACACACACACACACACACACACACACACACACACACACACACACACACAAATTAATAAACACATGCAGATTAACAAATGAAGACTAACGCCTGGAAAAAATGCCTGCATACAAACATCTCTTTGACCTGTCCCTCTTAGAATCTTGGTCTGTGGACAAGACACCTAAAGGTAGGGATCAAACTCAACAAATGCACAAGGCTTGAAGTGCTGCAGTGTAAGGATGAGCAACTTGACAACAATGTTTTGTAGTAAAGCGTTCCGAATGTGTCTGCTTGACAACGCTCTCAAGGAGGCGGACCCGTGAACAGCCCGTGGAACATCTGGACGTGTGCGTACGTCCGGCATTCCATGGAGAAACATTATGTCAAGTGTGTGTGTGGGGGGGGGGGTGCACATGTACATATATGTCCATTTCTATTTGTTCTGGTTCTTACAAGACATTCTGCTGTACACAATAAGTTCAGCGGCTTTGCAAGAAGATGATTAGGTGAGATACGCTGGTCCTGAAGCAGTGAAAGTACCTATACCAATACACATACGTACACACACACACGTTCACATAATATGAAATACACACATAAACACACACAAACACACACATACACACACACGTGCACACACATGCATACACACACGTGTACACACATGCATACACACACACACACACACACATACACACACACACACACACACAGTGGGTATATATGTACAATCACCGCATTGCGCACAGAAAATCGGTGCAAAGTCACTGTACTGAAGATACATGCACGGAAAACCGGAACACGAGTACTTCGGTACTTCGGAAGTATGTAACATGGTACGATTCCAGAAATGACCGGTCTCTAAACTAGGTAGCCTTTCATGGCAGATTGGTGTGTACGTTGACATTTGGTCTGACCTTTGAGAAGACCGGTCCCTCAAGACAGGTTTACTTTTGTTGTTGCAACACCACCTGTCTTGAAGGATCAGCCATCTCATGGCCGAGCCTCTGGTCCATGAGATGGCCGGTCTTCCAAGACAGTTGGTGTTTCAACAACGGTGGATCGGTAAGTGGAGGTGCGGCCTAGTCCTCGAGATGGATGGTGTCTGAAGATAGGGGGTGAGGTCTGTCAATTTACTTTACTTTCTAGTCCACCTCCCATACCATATACCTGTCTAAGACGACCGCTCAAGGGACCTTCATAACGTGGTCTCTGTTACCAGGACAGGTGGTTTCCTTATCCAGGGTCATTTGACTGAAAATTCCATCCCTTGATCCTGGTTTCAGTGGTCTTTTAGGACAGGTGGTCGCCTTATCCAGGTGGTCGCTTTGACAGGTTTTACTGTGTTTGCCAAATAAAGGAGAAGGGTCAAAGCCAACCGGGCTGATGAACCATAAAGAAATGTAAAACGAAAGAAAGGAGATCAGATATTAAAGAAAAGAGAGAAAACGTGTATCACAGTTGTTGCTGAGCACAGGTTATGTTCGTATTGAGAGGCAAGGCAGTGTCGCAGTTAAGTGGAGCGCAAGCCATGCAATGGTTTCCACGTTGCGTGCCATTTATAACTAGCGCTGTGTGTGTGTAGTCTGCTATGCACCACATATTTGCCGGGATTGTTGCAAACTTGTTTTATTCTTTTCGTCGTTCCTGGAACAAACATCGTTCATTTAGCACTTGCAATCTCCCCCCCCCCCCCCCCCCCCCCCCTCATGAACGCAACTGCTATGCAGGGTGACCCAACTTGCATGCATGTACATACCGACATTATAGTGTTGGTCGGCACAGTCACAGTGACGGACTCACGCTGCTATCTGGAACGAGGTTGGCTTGGAGAGTCTTTCCAAATTTTTATCCCAGGTGATGGTTTTGCCTCAGCCTCAACCAAGACAGCTGACCATACTTCCTCACAGTCTCAAGTCCAAAATATATATTTTTTTTTCAAGGATTCTCATACAAGCTCGACCGAGTGTCTGCCACGTAACGACTGTTACGTGGTTGTTTGCATGCCGCGATCGAGGCTAGTACAGTAGTAGTAGTACTAGTTGAGGGGCCTGGGCACGCTAGTAATCATGATAATATCCCTGCATTATCCCAAACTCACTTGCTAGCCCGATCTGGCGCACACGGTTGGCTGAAGGCTGGTGGCCCGCTGCACCCGCAATGAACAGCGGCAGCCGCTCGCCAGTGGAGGCCACGCAAAGACTGAAAGAGATCGGCTCGCGTGTAGATGATCTAAGTGGCCTAGTCGTAGGACTGTCTGTATTTCTTCACAAACCAAATTTCTCCTGAAGTGCCAGTGGATCTAGGCTGAGTCCCAAACCCACGGCTAGAGACAGAACATGTATTTTACTCTAATCGAGTGGTGCCTGCTTCCAGTTTGGAAGTAACTAATACTTAGTTGTCGCCATTCACGACTCCCCAGCTCTGTCTCCAATGCACGGGATATCCGCGTTCCTTTCCGAGATTTCGTCGTCAAGACTGTAGTGTAGACCTAAAACTACATTCACCGGTTCGCGGTATGCCATACCAGCGACCTATGAAATCAGGCATGAGCTTGGACCCACGTAAAAACGCCGTTCCTGCATGCATGCATGCAGCTGGTCGATGTCCAAAAAATAAAACCAGTCACGCGAGCAACATGAGCACCTGACAGATGTGCACTACAAAACGTGGTGCTGAAATACACTGCGTAGATCTACTGGATCAAACTCCAGGTTTCCCCAGCCCATCCGCACCGGACCGTTCCTCACCTGGCAGTCTGTATGATCCGGCTACAGTAGATCTACATGGCACTGTATCAGTGTAGATGATCTACGTTATCATGACCTACTAGCCAGGCACAGGGCCGGAATGAAACTATTAGTATTTACACACATGTACATGTACCATGATTGACCAAGCACAACAGCTTTTCTACACGCAAATCTATCCCCCCCCACCACCACACACACACACACAAAGTAACAGTGATTACACTGGGCTTTTCGTTCTCTGCCATATTATGTATGACCTGCCATCAAGGTTCCTTTGTATATCCAGCCTGCGTGGCCGGAGTCGGCAGGCTGTCCTGGACACTACGCTACATCTCGATCTAGCCACGCGCGCACGCGCACACACATACACACACACACACACACACCCTCGGTCAACTCCATACAACGCAAAACCATTGTCCATTGCACCAAGAACGAAGAATCTTAAAAGAAAAGTTACATGACTGGGTTATTAGTTAGGCTAGGCTAGCGCCTAGCCGCAGTGTTGGTGCTACATCACCATGACATCACCATGACATCACCATAATCTAGCAGCAGTGTTGGTGCTACATCACCATAATGGCTGTCATCATGATGTCATTATTATCAAGTGTAGAGATACTAATGGTATCTGAAATGAACACTCAAAACAGTTCCATGATACAAGGATCAACAAGACAACACTGAACAGAACGATAACACAGACAAGTGCACAGTTGTATCAAGGAGCAGACTAAGCCGGTGAAATCATCGGTATCTGTTCTCTGTGATATTGTCATAATAGAAAGACATTGCATGGCAACACGGCAGAGGCAGTCCCAAAGCAAGCCGAGGCTGTCACAAAGCCCCCGGCTGAGTTGGGTGAAAAACTTGAAAAAGCAGAGGTACCGGGCTGAACCAGCACACCACTAGCACAGTACATACATCCACGGCGACGTACTGCATACTGACTCCAGGGCAGATCCGCCATGCACTGTTTGCTGCTAATCTGCTGGTTTACGTAGTGCTAAACTACATATCACCCAGTTCATTCCACGGCAGCTCTGCTATACACTGACTAATGCTAAGTTGAAGGTTGAAACGGTGACGACATGGAAGGCGGCGCATCGTAGCCGCCACGTGCATTCCGAACAGAGCTTCGGCGTCCATCTGCGAACCGTCGTCAACACCACCGCCAGTTGTATGGTGCTGCTGTCCGTTGCCGCTAGCGGAGTATGAATTGCTGCCGCCCCGAGACCTGGACGTGGCGACGCTGGTGGTCTCCATGGGAACGACAAACGCGCTGCGCACCTTGCCGCCAGGATCCGCCGAGCCACCGGCGGCGGGGAGGTGAGGCGATGATAATGAGGTATCAACGCTGACGGTGGAGTGCACGATGCGGCTCGGCGAAGGCAGACCGCCACCCGAGGCAGGAACGGAGCTGGAGGCAACGACGTCGCTGTCGGAGGCGTCGAGCGTCACCGCCGCCTCGCCCTCGGGCAGGACGCTCGTCAGGCAGCTCACTTTGGCTGGAGAACTTGACATCGGGTCGCTCGCTGAGCCGTCCGCCGCTGCTGTCGCGTTGTGTCCGTTGCCGTTGTGTGGCATGCCCGCCACAGCACCCATAGCTCCTGCTGCCGAGCGCTTCCTGGCAGCCTGCAACACGCAGAAATGTAAACAGGCAGGCAGAAATGGAAAAACATGCACGAATCGAATGTACGGTAGTGACACGTGGAAAGACGCGGAACTGTTGGGAAATTCTTGATTTCTGGCCCTGTACATTAAAATAATACAGCGTGCATTCCTGGCCAGCACAAGAGCCATAGGGTGACCTATATTTTATGTGTGCTATTAACGAACTTAGAAGTGGTTATTTTTCCAGTAGTTATTTTGGCGGTATTAGTAAATAAAGTACCGTATTTTCCGGACTTTAAACCGCAAGAGAACCCCCCCCCCCCCCCAAATGCGGGGTGCGGCTTCTACTCCGGAAAACACGGGGAAGTTGCTCCTGTGTGGAATACATGCTTCAAGCCAAACTGGACACTTGACTGACTCACGCTTGCCATTCACACCACACGAGCAAACTTACAGGAAAGCACCACCCCTGCTCATTACACCATGTAGAGTATTTCGGGGAATTCACCCCTCATCAGTAGAGCGGGAGTATTTTTTGGGGGAATTCGCCCCTTATCAATTGGGCCAGAGTATTTCGGGGGAATTCACCCCTCATGAGCTGAGCAGGAGCTATTTTCGGGGGAATTTCCCCTCTTCAGTTGATCAGGAGTAGGGAAGGGTAGGGGAACATTGTGTATTTGAGCAGAGAGTGGTGCATCCTTGCAGGTATTTGTGACTCTAGCTTGGATAGAATGGTGCCCAGTAGACAGACGTGCTCATATCAGGGGTGTCAGGATTAGGGGAGTTTTACAGTAGTCGCATCACGTGGATAAACTACAATACCCACCTCCACACGATGTCGGGTCAACCTCAAGTCAGGCTGCGAACGAGTGGCGGCGGCGCCTGCTGACGATGTCATTGATGACGTCAGTGCCGTTGCAGTGGAAACTGCAGCCGCTGCTGAAGAGTCTGTCCTGCGCGGCTCCATGTCCACAGCCTCTGCTTTCATCTGACTGCTGGAAAATGACAAAAACAGACGTGCACAAATATGTGCACACGCACACACACACACACACACACACACACACACACACACACACACACACACACACACACAAACAAACACATACACACACATACGTACACACACACACACACACACAGATACCGTATTCGCCGCAGTCTAACAAACAACACCCAATAGCGGCACAAACTTCAACAACATGATTTTCACAAGACAGTCAACTTTCGTACCTTCTCCTCAGGTGATACACAGCCAAAGCAAACGAAATCATGTTGTTGAGGAGCCTAAAGTTTGTGTTAATATTGACTGTTGTAGCTTTTTTGTCTCCAAGGATACCTTTTTGCATACAACGCGCACCTGAGTATAACGCGTACCCCATTTTTTGTCCAAATGTTTCATAATTCAAGATGTGAAGATGGGGTTGCGACGTCGGCGATACATATACTTAGAGAATTGCGTGCCGCTCCCTCTACTCTACTGTACAGACAGAAAATTTAGTCGGTCAATAATTTCGTCCAACTGCAAAGAAAGGGAGTTCCTCCGGAGGAAAATTTAGTTTATGGATCATAAGAGTGTATTGAAAAGCTGGACAAATCGGCATTAGTCCGGCATTCAATTTAGTCCAAACGCTCTTTGGACGAAAAAAAGACGAAATAGAATTGCAGACGAATATTTCTGCTCACTAGTACACAGCATGTCTCCTCTCTCAACTGATAAGGGGTAAAGTCCCAGAAACACTGTGTATTGAGCAGGAAGTGTGGTGCTGTCTTCCAGATTTGCTGAGTGGAAGGTTCGACGGACTTGTCGTGTGCTCTGGATGGCAGTCGTGAGTCAGTCACGTGAGCACTCAAGTCGGCAGGAAAAGCGCCAGCTCCCAAGAAGGGAGCGACACACAATTCAAGTGGTAATCCGAAGTATTATACACGAACCCTAGATTTGAGAAAATTACCGATTTTAAAACAATGTCATAGCATGACCCCTGACAAAATTGTCACAAAATCAATATTAATTTTACTGGTTTGAGGGAAAGACACAAACGGGAAAAGTCTGAAGAAAAAAATTGGCAGCTGTCACCAGGACTCGAACCAGGGACCCTCGCTTGTAGCCAGCGATGTTCTACCCACTGAGCTATGGTGTAATCATGATTGCGTACCAGTGGGGTTTCGTACGCATCATGCATTTGCAGTACAGCTGGGAGTAGACACTACGAATGCCTGCAAAAGACTTGCCGCGGGTCAGCGGTGACAAACTTAGCAACAGTGTTCTGTATGCCTAGCAGTTAGCACCCATGAGCAGTTGCGTAATTCCTCTGACTCATCATTATGACTTCTTTCACATAGCCTCTTTACTCTGAGTAATCTAGGCAATCCTGGCTGAAGAGAGGATTGCGAGGAATTCATCGCATCCTGATCTCGATTCACTAAACCGAACATTGAACACAGCAATTTCAGCAAATTCCTTGAGTCTTGATTGATCAGGAGTCGAACAATCGAACACCGCCCCAGATTACTCTGGGTGGCATTCTGTTGTTCTCCAAACATGTCGGCTGCACCCCCAAAAGACTTGCAGTCGTGGGACAATAACAACAAAATTGACTTTTGGGATGTTCGGAGAATAGAATATCACCCGGAGAAGTCTGGGGCCACGTGAGTGTTCGATTGTTCGACTTCTGATCAATCAAGACTGAAGGAATTTAAGGATTAGAATCGTTAACTGTTGGTGCTTAAACTGGACTCCAACGTACCCTCCCTCCGGAAATGACACTTGGAAGTATTTCATTGGCGTTTGCTGGCGTGGCGTTAGCTGGCGTGGCGCAGCACTGCTGGGCTTCATCTCCAGAGTCAGGTTGACCATGTTCATTTGTGTCTGAGAGCTACGCCGACTGAACAGAGAAACGAGTAAATGAGCAGGGCAGCCACACACACCCACGCAAATATACACATGCACACACGTACATACATACATTATGTACAGCCAAACACAATACATACATGCCCTGACATATCAAGTTTTAATGTTGAATGAAATAAATCTCGGCAGTCCTTTTTGCAATTTGTGTATTAGTGACACTAAAATCAATAATACCAAAGGTCTAGTGCGAACCAGAGAGAGAGAGGGAGAGAGAGAGGGAGAGAGAGAGGGAGAGAGAGAGAAAGAGAGAGAGAGAGAGAGAGAGAGAGAGAGAGAGAGAGAGAGAGAGAGAGACACACACACACACACACACACACATACACATACACACCATTTGACCATTCGACGCCCATCGCCAGAGGCGATGATAGCGATGCTACAGCAAGCCATAGCAACTTTTGCTGGGATTGCACTATTCAACAGCTTGCAAGGCTGAAAAATTGACCGCCACTATTCAGCCTGGTCTACACCACACAACTATGAAGTGGCTTTTCTGGCCAGTGAATCCCCCCCCCCCCCACACACACACACACACATTCACACACACACACACACACACACACACACACACACACACACACACACACACACACACACACACACACACACACACACACGGAGACACCCAGAGACAGGCCGAGAAAAAGAGACCGGCAGAACCAGTTACGTTGTACATGTAGATGAAGACATTTTTCCTTTCTCAAAGACTTACTTTCGACTGCGCACTGTGTCTTTCAAGAAGTGAAGGTGGTCCCAGCAATGCCAGTTCGGTGTCCTGCCGGTCTGCAGCATCTTCTTCCTCTCCCGGGCATAGCGGTCACGGATCAGCTTCCACCGCTTCTCAATGTTCGCCGCTGGAATGAAGCAAGACAAATGCAAAGGCAGAGTTTCTAAAACCAATAGCCTAATATTCTTTGGCTTAACGAAGATATGTTTTTATATCGCCATCAATATCCTGTTTGGCTGTTGTCGCTTCGGCTTATGCGAAAGCTATACATGCTGTGTATATCTACATTGCATTGATGCCAACGCGGAGAAGCTTCTAATAATAATAATAATAACGAAGAACAAACGGCGAGGAGACAACAATTTGATAACCGCAATCAGTAATACAAGCTGGATCGACATTTGTGTACACTTTATTCATGTAATGTAATGAAATCGTGCTTTCAGCGTTAGATTTCATTACATTACATGAATAAAGTGTACACAGATGTCGATCCAGCTTGTATTACTGATTGCGGTTATCAAATAACGAAGAAACGAAAAAATATTCTTTCGGCTCGAGTGGAGAGCCAAGGATCACGTTTTAAGAAGAAAAGAGGACCAAAGAGCTACAGATTACGCTGTAATATCCAGAAAAGTAACTGGTTGTGTTAGTGGATGTTATAGCTCTTTGGTCCTCTTTTCTTCTTATAAAATTTAATATTCTTTCATTAACACGGATGACATCACATGCCCTGCCCTCAGTGACTTGATAGGATATATTGTCACTATGGTTGATACGCATGCACAAGCAGTAGTGACACAAAAACGTTACCGCTACATAATGCTACTTCGAAGTACATACATATTATGTACAATCGTGGCAGTCCAGTATGCGAATACGCGCACTCATGCAGTACGAAGTCGCAGGGAAGGCTGTATACGCTGCACTGTGCTGTACTGTCCTCGGCGTGCATGCATGTCCATATGCTACACTCGAAGTGACGTAACGAATATTCGCCTCGAGAAAAATTCTTTTGAATGTGACAAACCGAACGAATATTTGAATATTCAGCCCGTTTGTTTCATCACTAGTTCCTGGACAACCACAATGTTGTGGATTGGGCTACTCACTTTAGCCAGTTGGGAGCAATGGAAACAATGTGCAAGAGTCCAAAGTTTTGGAACGCATTTTGAAACTCGTCACCGTACATGTGTAGCGGGCCGCAGTCTCTCGGAGGCAAAAATACAAGGGTCTCAGTGAACGCACTGTAACTGGCAATTGAAATGTACTGGCAACGAAATTAACTGACTGGCAAATAAATTAACTAACTGGCTACTAAATTAACTGACTGGCAATAAAAGAATCGTAAGCAGCAGCTTTTATGCAAAGGCAGACTCTGTACGCTAATGTAAGGGGATACGCTAACGTATGGGGATACAGTACGGGGATATGCTAACGTACGGGAATACGCTATACGCTACACCTCCCCTCTCAAATACAATCACGTCCTCGTGATTCGATTACTCGGTGATAGCTGGACACCAACAACTGGCTGTTATTTAGAAGAAACTGGCGGCATGCATGGTCGCGTCGGAATAAACTCGACGATAAGAGATAGGCAGAATGGATGGATGACTTGAATAATATAATACAGGTATGGAGTCGTGAACATTATAGTAGATCGCGAATTACTGGGAGAGCGTCAACCGGAGTATGGCAAATAATATCGGAAATGATAACGTTTGGAATAGACAGAAGAATGAACTGATAAACAAATCATAAAGTAGAAGCACACCAGGTTCACACGATCTCACAGGGTCAAAAGGGGAAGGAACTGTCCTCCAAATAGGACTTGAAAAACCACAGCACTCTTGCTGCACAACGCTGGTACAACCCGCCAGGAACATCGCAGGTCAAAAACCGAACTGAATACACTATACTATTATAATTATCACTATTCACTATAAGGGGCATTGTCACACACATTGTCCCAGGTTAGCTGGGTAAACCGTGGCTCACCATGATCAGACGCCTACCAAACTAAACTGGATTCACACACTCGCATAAAGGAAGACTGAAGAGAATAGGAAGACTGAAGGAAGACAGGAAAGAAAATGCCATACCTGGAATCAGCGTCAGTAATCACGGCGGCGGCTGGAGCTACGGCGGAGGGCGAGCCAGGTGTTATCTTCATCTTGATTGAGCCGGTCACTCAGAGAGGCTAACTCGGCGTCAGGCAGATCGCCCCTCCTCGTCGAATCGTGGTCTTCACGTTGTCGATAGCATCGCTTGGCGCGACGTAAAGAGTGATGGTCTAGCCAGGAAGAGCGTTGACGAAAATCTGCATCCCACCACGGAGACGAAGTACCAAGTGAATAGTGGACTCCTGCTGAACGTTGTAGTCACTCAGGGTTCGGCCGTCTGCCAACTGCGTGCCGGCAAAAATCAAACGCTGCTGGTCTTGGGGAATACCCTCCTTGTCTTGGTCAGCAGCCTGCATGTCGTCGTTCTCAACAGCTTCGCCATCACTACCCGGGTAGTATACATGTAGGTAGCGGGTCGCTTGGAATCGCCATCGGAGTCTCCAGTGAGTGCCGTGCGGAGAGAAGGGTGATCCACGCTAGCACCCTGACTGTGCTGCAGGCTAATAAGCAGGGCCAAACCCAGGTAGGCAAGAAACATGATTCTCATCTTGATTCGTCGCACGGAGCTGTAGCGGGTTGAGCCATGGGGGTCCGAGAAACGTGTAAAGTAACACAGTTAGGTATAGAATGAAACAAAATGAATTTACCGCTGCCACCAATTTGTAGCGCGTAAAACAGGTGGGGTCGAATCTGACAAAGTTGACTTTAACCACCGCTGCCACCAATTTTGTAGCGGGCCGCAGTCTCTCGGAGGCAAAAATACAAGGGTCTCAGTGAACACACTGTAACTGGCAATTGAAATGTACTGGCAACGAAATTAACTGACTGGTAATAAAAGAATCGTGAGCAGCAGCTTTTATGCAAAGGCAGACTCCGTACGCTAATGTACGGGGATACGCTAACGTATGGGGATACAGTACGGGGATATGCTAACGTACGGGAATACGCTATACGCTACACATGTTTTCGACGTCCAACGAAAAAATGGTGACGTCATATTCCACATCTCAGTTTATACCTGCACGCCCCCACTCCCATGGTCCTCCTGACATCACCCAGCAAGGATGAAATGGTAAAATGCACTCACGCCAAAAAAAGAAATTGGCACCGCAATAGGACAGGGGCGTAACAGCCAATTCGGCCGGTCCGGCCAATGGTCCGGCTTTGGCCGGACCACGTTTTTTAACAAAATGCGAAAAGTGCCCAGGATGCAGGATTTTGCACCCTGTAGTTTCAACATTTTCGCGGGGGACACCCCGGACCCCCACCACCACCACCACCACACCACCTCCCACAGTGGTGCTACGCGTCTGTGGGAGATGATGGCAAGAGAACCCCCGTACAGATTTCAGACTATTTGTCTTATCGCTGTGGTCCTTGTACCGTATCAAGAAATAAAACTTGTGCAAAACAAATAGTGCAAACGGGTACAATCGAGTTACGAGAAACCGTTCACCACTGTAACTAAAGTATTCGCCGGAGCATAGTGCACACTTCATAGTTACTATTTCCGGCCCCTAATCGCACGAATGCACTATGCTCCCAATACGAAAAAAGTATTTACCGTAAAGTGCCGTTGATCTCCCCCCCCCCCCCCCCCCGTGTCGCTTCCCAACTGGTTTTTAGGCGGGTGGGGGACGGGAATTACATCAAGTCATCCTGAGGGTCTCCTGATGAAACATGACCCAATCTGGAACCCCCCCCCCCCCCCCTTTCAAGACTTGGTGCACACCTACAAAGTAGCACAGTCGCTGCATTTCCTAACACCAATGCCAACACAAGTACTGCAGTGCAATACCACCTCCAAAAAAAACATTTTCACGGCGCGGATTGCGCATCACGCACGAAAGCAACCAGTTACCTCCAAATGATATTTTTCTCCTTCCAAAGTAACACAAGGTAACACGCACCCAGACCCCAAGGTCAAACGGGATATAAGCGCAGCTCTCCATACAGACTTATTTTTTCCCTTGCCGCAAGTCCCATCCTTTCGTGTTCGCGATTTTCCCAACCATCCGCCCGTCAACATTAACCGAAAATCGTTACGGTCATACTACTCGCACTCTCGTAGTAGCGCACGCAGCGCCGTAGCATTCGTAGCAGCAAGCTTACCGTCCGATAAGTATGTGTTGGCCAGTGATGGAATAATTTCCTGCCAGGCTTCTTGCCTGCGTTCCTTGCACTCGAAAGCCAGGCTGTGGTCCCACAGCACTGGTCGTGTCTTTACCAGAGCCACTAGAGCTATGTCGACGGCGTCCATCTCTTGCTCCTTGACACTAGAACTGGGAGCGACCGCCATTGCTACGGCGAGTGTTGCTAACTACAAATAAGTCGCAGTCGACTCTTCCCTCAACGCAGAGCAAAGCGAAGCAAAGCAGCACAGATGTCAGTCCTGCACATACACTGCTAGTCAGCACAATGGTGCATCTACGGGTTGGTACAGCCACTGAAATAGTAGATGCTTGCGCATCGACGTAGACTCTACGCATTCAGGAGCGCAACCTACGTCACTCTCGTCCCTGCCGGTGCGCTACTGTAGTATGTGCGGTAGCGCAGCAAGCGCATTCGGAGCACGCAGACGTGTACCGTAGACCTCTACGTATCACTCGCTAGCGCTTCGTGGACGTATCGGATCTTTACATGACTGTACAATCAGATCGCGCATGCGGTCTACCATGGTCTACGTAGCCGTTTGACTTGCGATCAGAATGTGCATTGCCAGGCTTTGGACACCTGCTCCTCTCTCAGAATGTCTATGCCTAAATTTGGGGCGGGCGACATGGTGGTGTGGAGCATAGCCCTGTGCCAGGCCCTGTCAAAGTGCCTTCAACTAAGGCTTCATACTTCATAGGCATGTGTGTGAGTGCGATCGACGAGACTGAGCTTTGGTCGTTTGGAGGCAGACCGTCACCCCCAAAATACGCCTTGACATTTCCTTGGCAGTGCTGCCAACCGAGTGGATGTGTTTTGCGTGCTGTGACTCCTGATTTCCCGTATTGTGCAGTGTGTTGGTATACTTCCAATGCATGTACTGCAGCGTGCATTGGTTGTACAAGTACACTGCATTGTGTGTGTCTTGTACCATGTTCGTCCGGCCAAGTGCCAATGATTATGTACTAGTAAGTGAGACTTGAGTGTGCGGGTACTGGTGGGGTGGAAACTGCACTGTGCTTCTAAATCGTGCTTGAAAATCGACGAGTCTTTAAATAAACAGTTTCCTCTGAGACAAAAATGCGATAATACTCATAAAAAGGACACACTTCAGGCTCATTACAAACATCTTGAAAGTTTTTGTCTTCACAAGTATACTTTCAAGCCTTCTCATCAGGTGAAATACAGGCAAGAGAAAAGGAACAGGAACAGTGGATTAAATACAGTAAGAAGGTGGTAAAACAGCGCAAAAAGAAAGAAAGAAAGAAAGAAGATAGCTAAAGTAAACAGCGAAAATTGCAATAATGACACAAAGGTGCAAATGCGAGAAAACTCAATAAGCGCGACATGTAGTGCGACAACAAGAGACAACCACTGGACATACATGTAACTAACGAGGTTTTGACGACCTACCTAACAGCCTAAGTGTGAATTTGATTTGTTTCTGTTTGCAAAGGTTGGGTTTCCTTTTCTCTTGCCTGTATTTCACCTGATGAGAAGGCTTGAAAGTATACTTGTGAAGACAAAAACTTTCAAGATGTTTGTAATGAGCCTGAAGTGTGTTCTTTAAATAAAATTAATAATAAAAATCTTCAGCCTGCTCATTGTTCTTTGGCATGAAGCGCTACAGTACATGCAATGTACTTTTTAAACACAGTACTGCTGCATGCCGCAGAACGGAGCGCAGAGGAACGGCCAGGCTACGGTTTCACCAAGCACAGCATACCAATGTTTACATAGTGACCCAATTATGCATAGACTAAAAAAATGAAATAAAAAAGTAAATTATCGTGTCCGTTCCCGAAGGGAACTCACGACGGCCGCTAACACCCGGTAAACCATGCATAGACTGTAACACATGAAAATAGGAACCATCTAGGCTAGAGGACTGACCATCCCAGTTCTTCGGTGGCCGACAGCATTGTACAGTACAGCCGGGTGCCGAAGAACATTTCGACAAACAGCAAACCGCCACAACTTCACCACATGCATGATAATCTTATGTATGGTGCTCAATGAAATCCGGTCAGTAGCTAGTCGCGTGAGTCAAGTTGACGCCTTGCATTATTCCGCAGCCCAGTGTTCGCAGGTCTAAGGCTGCGCAACGCCCGGCGCGTACTTCAGCGACTCAATCGGATTCCTCTGAGCAGTATTGAACACTGTGGCTGAACTGTATAGAAAGTTCTACCAGAAAACAATTATTTTGTAACCTGGAAATTGTGGGCACAAACAAAATTTCCATGTTACGTTTTTTTCTTCCTCGGCTCACCATCTGAGTTCTTAGCAAAAAGAATAAGAACAGCTTAGGCTACAGTGTACGACTGTGAACCCCCAGTTATTCTGCACCAGACAATGTATCACACATTAGTCTCGCACACTGGAGCAATGCCTGCACACCGCCTGACACATCACTTTACATAACCAGGTTTCATGAAGCACATCGCACATCGACGGCACGTGGAAGAAGAAATGTGACGGGAAATCGGAGTGAAATAGAATTGGTAATATCAGTCTTTGGGGGAATCTCCTGGAACCAGAGGGAGCGTAAAGGCAATTGAGGGCGTGAGTAGAAAACCGAACAGGTCATACATATAGTACCGTAGTGATATCCGTGCTAATGGGCAAAATGAGAAATTTGAAAAATTGGACAACAATCAAAAAATCTTCTATTTTTTGTAGTACCGTGTTGACTTTGAATTGCACAGCATACGATGTATCTCTCACATCTACCGAGCTAAACAAAGCCACATCCAGGGAGCCAAACATAGGTAAGGCGGAACTATGACCCCTACTACAATTCTCACTACGCTATAAAAAGTAGATGTTGAAGCTCTCAATCTTCCGCTTTCGGCAGCCATGATACGTGAGTGTGTGATTGCCTGTACACACGCACGCACGAACACACACATGCGTGTATGCATAAACACACGCACACGTGCGCGCACACACACACACACACACACACACACACACACACGCACATGTATACCCAGAAGTACAATCACGCGCCAACCTTAACATCGAGCAGCTCCAGCGGAATACTGAACTCCTCCATCAGAACGCGCAGCTCAGCCTCCTCCGAAGGCAGCAAACCCGTAACGCTCTCAGCTCCTCCGGACCGTACCGATGCGCTTCTCTGCTGCACAGAAGCACGCACAGTGCCACTGCGACTCAATCCCCCTGCTCTAGACGACGGCGCTGCGCCTGTTGCTGCATTGCCGGTGAACTGACGTGACTCGCTTTCCGACATGCACAGCGGCTTGATGCCGGGCCCGCGCGCAAACACGGCCAGGTTGATCGGGTGAAAGAGGCCAGGCTCCCACGGAGTGGCGCTGGTGCTGTGCGACAGGCGGTACAGCGTCCAGCCGCTCGTCACGAACATCTGTATCACCGAGCAGAGCGTGAAGCTGCGGTCGCAGTACCAGCCGCGAGGATCCGAGCGCTTCTTGTCGGTCGGCACGCCCTGGCCCAGCATGTTGAACATCTGATTCGTCACCGGTCCGCTGATGCGCAGGCCGTGCGTGATGAAGACCTCGGCGACGGCGTACTTCACCGCCGACGCTTGCTGCTGTTGCTGCTGGCTGTCCGCCTGACCGGCCGACGGTGACGTGACGGCGGGTACCACAGTGCCGTCGGGTGACGTAACGACACTGCTCGCTTTCTGCGCTGACGGCGTGTCCGGCCCCGTCGTTGCCGTTGGCGATAGCACCGCCGCGCCCTCACCCCCGGTGCTCTCCGTGTTGATCGGTAGCAGTATCGTGGAGCGGCGGTCGCTGCCGTCCGAGCCCGTCATCTGCTTGGCGGCGGCTTTGAGCGCCGCCAGCACTTTCTCGTCGTGCTCTGTTGTCTGCACCGGCTCTTTCTGCGCCTGAGTGCTAGTGGCCGCGGCGGTCTTTGCCGCATACGATGCCTGCGTGCTGGGATGCAGCGCCGTGATCCACTCGGTCTGCTCCTCCTTGCTGGGTGCCGCCAGCTTGTAGACTTTCTTCTGCGTGCTGACGGTGAGAATGTTCTTCTTGCCACCGCTCTCGCCGAGCTGTCGTTTCACCTCCGCAATCTCGCCAAGTTCCAGCTTGCCGAGCGCCGAGCGCAGGTCGTCCGGTTTGAACCAGGAGAAAGAGGTGCGCGTCAGGATAAACGTTCGCGACTGCCATCGCGTGATGCCCGTGCCGCCCTCCTTCTCCAGCTGGCCCCGCTTCACGATTATCTCGCTCATGGTGACTAGTGTTTGCCTTGTTGTGGAGCGCAAGGGGGGATTTCCCTGATCTCGGTGCACAGCGATGTAATCACACCCACCCACACAATCCTCTATAGGTAGTGAGCTGTAAATAACGATGTGCAGTGCTACACAACGCTGCAGCAACTAGCCAATGCTGCCGAGAATTATAATCCGTATTGCAAATCGCTTGATCGCCTGCGAGCAAAGGTGCGATGAATCACCACGGCGCTACAACCACGCATTCACGCCTTTCTCTATACCAGGCCCGGTAGCTTTGCTCAGCCCGTCAGAGCTCCGTCCACGAATAATTGATGTCTGCCTCGGATAGGTGCACCGACTCACAAACTCCACAGATGCATCGTCTGCAGATTCGGTCACTAGCTGCTACTAGTTCTGCTCTAATTCAGTAATTGATTGATTCGGTTTGCTGTTTGCACGCACGCAGCGCTGGCAAGTAAAGCCCGACGCCGTACACTACTGCTGCTGAAGGAACTCTCTCGCTAGCCTAGCTACTCGCTGCCGGCTGTGTGTGCTCCACACAACCCTCCACCCTAAGCAGCAGTAAGATAACCTTGGCCTGGGTATAAAACAAACTAACTAAACTTGTGCTATTCACCGCTAATTCTACCACTAAAATTGATGCTTGCACGTCTGGATACATGAATGCTTATTTTTTGTAGTTGAACAAACAACAGCATGCTAGCATGCCAGCATGCTTGCAACGCATCGCTAGCGCTGCTCCTATTCGGAAAATCTGAAATGATCGGACAAAAAAATAATAATAGTAAATGTGAAATCTGTGCATACGTACATATACATGTATGTGGTGGTAGATTGGGTGCATGAGCTGAGTGCATGCACGCACGTAGATATAGATACAATGTCATGTAAGACCATGCCCATGGAATTTATTTATTTATTTATTGCAGCATCTCATAGCACAGTGAGAACACCGGCCAATACAAAGAGAGAGGGTGTTAGCCAACCACGGCAAGGAAGGGAGAAGGGGAGGAGAAGAAAAAAGGAACCGGCATGGATAATGGATACAGTCTTTAGTCTAGACTATTTTACAGATCTACTCCGCCGGCGTAGCATACATGTAATGTATGCGCGCGTAGCATACAATGTAGATTGTAGGGACCATTTTTTTTAATTAAATCCAAGGCCTCTTTTACGGGCAAATTAACACAATGGTTTAAAATGCAATAAATCATACACTGGAGAAGAAATCAGAATTAATAGAATACTTATTGATTACGGAGAGTCGATCGAGTCTACCATGATCATGATGCGACATGCATATACTAGTACTGGCAAGCTCACTGAAGGGCGTCGCCCACAACGAGTTACATGTACGTCGCAGTGGAGCCACATCTCCAACCCCTGACTGGGGAGCAGTTCCAGCTCCAGTCACCATCAACCAAGGATCAAGCTCGTTTGGATGTGGTGGCTAGGCCTTTGCGGATAATGCCGGCAGAAAATCCTGCGTTCCTAATACTAGTAATAGGGTCCGGCGGATTCTTCGGCAGAAAAATTGGCAGAATTCGGTACTTTTTCTGGTACGTTTCATGCATGTTTGGTATGTGGGTAAAGAAATGGAGCAGAATTCGAGGAGTTGCCCACCATAAGGCTTGGATGGTTCTGCCAATTTCACTGCTTTTCGAGCAGAATCTGCCACCTTTTCGAGCATTTTCCGCCAATGCCTTCCAGTGGAGTTTGGGAGGGGGGGGGGGGTCGAGCGCACTTTTTTTATGTACGGCCACCACGGGTCTTCAACCATTATACGTCTTCTAAGACCATAAAAATACAGTCGAACTACACTTCGACAACGCAAGACAACAACCACCCAACTTGGGAGGCTCAGTTTTATCAATGATAAGAAATGAAAGGGAAGCTTCGCCAGGACGAATTGTAACAAACGGAATGCCGACATCCTAAAGTACTGAACTTGGTCTGTGAGGGACAAACTAACTACAGTAACACGAATGTACATGTATAGTACCCATTCAAAATCTGGTTTAGTTGGTAGACTCCAACGTTACGTATAACGTGTGACCCACCGTTTTCCTTGTTTCAATTTAATGTTTTTTTAGTAACAGGCTACAAACATCACATGACATCTGTTGTCACTCCGGGCTTCCGGTGGCGAAAATGCGGATGGCGCAGCTGAGATGAGACCAGTGCAGGCCAGCCTGGTGTTGGAACATATCTAGGGGTTAGCGGAATATGCCGGCATAATGTTTGGCATGATCAGGTGCTTTTTGAGAAGGAGCATGAAATGGCATCCGAAAAGCAAGGGCAGACGAGGCTGTTATAACTTACATGTATACAACACACCTGGTGTTGACGGACCATACATACCGGTAGCGCTTCTTGTCGATTTGGAACAGCTAGAGCATAACCTGGTCAGTTTTCCGAGCATAATCCGCTTACCGCTAGCAATAGCAGGTGTGTATAAGTTATAACAGCCTCGTCTGCCCTTGCTTTTCGGATGCCATTTCATGCTCCTTCTCAACAAGCACCTGATTATGCCAAAAATTATGCCGGCATAATCCGCTTACCCCTACCCGCCAACCAAATTATCCGGCGCTTGATTAAATAGTGATAGTAGTCTAGCATGGTGTTACTTGCAGTTCTCGAATGAAGCAGGAAATGACTGTCTCATGTTGATCACAGTGCTCCAGTCACTGCACTGACGTCACTTGTGTCTAAACATCAACATCAACATCATCATCAATATACAGTCAACTTCGCTTATAACGACACTCGGCGGGGCATCAGAAAAGTATCCTTATTCGCGAAGTGTCGTTATACCCGAAGTCTCATTATGTATTACAGTTGGATGGGACTTTGCTCTGGGCATGGAAATTCTGTCGTTATTCGCGAATTGTCGTTATATCCGCAGTCGTTATTCGCGAATTGTCGTTATATCCGCAGTCGTTATTAGCGAAGTTCACTGTACACGTACAGTAAAACCTGGGACTAACGACCACCTCTTGGGGCCAGAGAAAGCGGTCTTTAGTGGCAGGAATCCCTTCACCCCCAGGTCGGCACGGACATCAGGATCAGTGTTGGCTGACCGATGGTGAAAGGTTTCACCAGTTAGGGGCAGCAATGGTGGCTCCACGGCACCTCCACATCATTATGGAGCTCCGTCATGCACGACGCGAGGAAGTCGGTGGGATCATTGTGTGCCATGTGGATGAACCCTGACAGCTTGCAAATTTGGGCATGGTCGACATGGTCGACTCTTTACATTTGTCACATTGCATTTCATTGCGAATACAGTCATTTAACATCTTCCATCTCGCCATGTAGCGTAGCAATGACTCGTTGTTCTGTATAGATATCGCAGGGTAAGTCCACCCAGAATTCCTCTTCCTTCTCTAACTGCTCGTCATCCAGTATCGTAACTGGTTCCACAATCTGGATTCCCGCTAGACGTGCATTGGCTGCTGCCCCTCCGGCCTAGCTCCATACGCACTAATACCAGAAGCTGAGTCCCCGGCATTGGAATCCATCTAGGCGGACGACGGTATCACGCTATACAATCATGTACTTATGCTTATACCTAGAGTGCATAAACCTTTTTGGTTTATGCACTCTTGCTTACACTATTACTAGTATAGGCGATTCACACGGCTGGCACTTGCACGTAACGACTAACGTCGTTTCACAGCAAGACATTTGTAGTGATTCACGCGAAAAGACTTGACTCGACTGTGTCGTGTGTGGATTCACACGGCCGGCCCGGTACGGCTGGCGTCGGCTGCATGCACTCGACAGTCACTCGACAGACACGATTTTTTGGATGATTCACCCACCAGCTACATGTAGTTGCCATGGGTATTTCGTGATAAGTCAAGACGACGGCCTGGCATTGCTGGCAAACGATGTCAAGGAACCTGTCCTGGGCCTGGGGCTCATCTTGACAGACACTGAGAGTGAGAGACAGTGTAGGTCTACACTGTAATCATGGTAATGTAGATCCACAGTCAGTAGCCTGACAGGTAGGTCTACCTAGCTCCAGTAGTGCAGTACTACAGACAGACAGTGTGCTACATACAGTCATGTAGGATGATTGTATGTAGACTTGGAGGGACGAAAAGTTTGAAACAGTGAAAGCAGTGCATGCAATCTGATCTGGAGCTCGAACGAACCGAATGAAAATTTCGTTGCAGACTGCAGTTTGCGGCATATAGTACCAAGTAAGTTGGTCACCACAGTAAGAACATTTGAGAGAGTTTGTTCTTCTCAAGCGGCCGCCCGTGCAACGACTGCCGACGGGAGTCACCGGGACCGTTGTTGCAAATCTCAATACAGCCCTGCAGCCATTGTGAATGTGAGCGAGTCTCCAGCTAGCGAGCATTGAATCCTTGTCACTGCCGGCCTCCGCATCGGTCGACCCTGCTTGGTGGTTGTGGGTCACTCGCTGGTCGCCAACCGTGTGGTGCAGACTATCCTTGCCCGGCCCAAGGTGGCGATTGGATGCCGGTTGAGCGTAGCGCAGCGGTCTGTGTGTTTGGCAATTTGTGGGCACACAAACACATCCACATTGTCATTGTAGCTGCAACAGGTAATGGTAGTCAACAAATTATTGTCATTGTAAATCGAAAAGGACCTGTAAGCTACTAGTTATGACTAACAATCCACCAAGGTGCCGAGATAATAATACAGTTACTTAGATATAGTGCGACAACGAGGCACAAAACTGACAATGATAATGAGACAGAATACTAGATAATTATTGTCTTTGTGCAGAATGGAACTCTACAGTACAATGTCCTGTATAGTTGTGTTTCTGTTGCGAAGACTGAAAAGGCACCTGTGTCCGTGTTCCCCTTTCACCCCCCCCCCCCCCCCCCCCCACTCATGCAACCACCATCATCAGACAACTTGACGAGTGTGTAATATTGCTCCACATTATAGTGTTGAGCCCTCTCCGCTGGCTATAGCAGGGGCGTCGGAACCGGTGCGGCAGGTACGGCCAAAGCCGCTCCAATAATTTTAAACTGTGATTTCTCAAGCAATAAAATATGGGAGATGTGGACCCAACAATTTGCCTAAACATATCCCCGGAGGCCCCCGGGATCCCCCCCCCCCCCCCCCCCCACCACCACCACCCTTTTCATAGTCATAACTACAGTCAAACCTCGTTAGGACGAACACTGATAAGGCGAACTTTCCATTAGTACGAACTCGGGCCAATCCTATGGTTGGCCAGGCATCAATTCAAGTCAAAATTATTCGTTTACGACGAACTTCTGTACAGCGAACTTTCGCAAAGACGAACGATTTTCAAGTGTGATTTGAACAAAATCAGTGTGGTCATGTACATGTAGTACGACCTTTCGGTCCACGAGCGTGCGTGTGGGCTGGCTGCCTTTTTTTCTTCTTTTTTTTCAATTGTCGAAGCCATATCGTACGTACGTACAGTGGAGTGCAAATTGCTTTCAAGCATGTTTTGAACAAATGATCAGTGCGTTGTACGAACTACTTTCAGCACAGTCATGATTCAGTGCATATTGCCATTGTGCTTACCTGTTTCTGGCTTATGCTAAGAATAAAATGCCTCCCATGTACAACAGCATGCACCTTCACGGAAATACAGTCCATTATGCATATCGATTTTTTTGTCAAATCTTGATAAGAAGAACTCCCGATAAGACAAACAAATTTGTTCAGTCCCTTGAAGTTTGTCCTAACGAGGTTTGACTGTATGTAGAATACCTTCTGACGAGCCTGTAAAGGGAAAATCTTTGTTACACGTTCTAGTACCTACTCGCCCATTGACGATAATTGTTGTTTTCCTGTTTATCATGCATGCTCTAACTCGCCAGGGTAACCGTTGTCGTGGTGACTACAGCAAGATGGCCGACGACGAGGTGCAGGCGCCTGCCAATCTTCACTTCGACGACCTGAACAAGCTGCGCGTGGTGTCGTCGGAGGTCAGTGAAGAGACGGCGGCGCTGCGGGACGAGTGCCGTGACTTTGTATCCAGTGAGTGACACCGTGTATGTGTGTAGGCAATATGCGGCCCAGGGGTGTAGCGTAGCTGGTCCGCCTTTTAGGAGGTGCACGGCCTCATACCGTAATGTTGAGTATTAAAGCCGGGCTTCTTCCTGTCGAAGCTGATGTCATTGCTAGGCTTCCAGGGGCGTCGGACACGGTACGGTCACTACGGTATTGACCGTACCACTTTTTCCCCGGACATCCCGTGAATCAACAAAATACACTGATCTGGGATCTAAAATTTCCAAAATTTTCGGCTCAGTTCCCCCTCCCACACAAGCAAATTGTACTTCAGATGGCTGACCGTACCACACTAAAATACCTTCCGACACCCCTGGCTTCTATTCACATCAGGCTTCTATCCATACCAGGTATTTCTATGTGTGTCAACACTAAAACCAAGCTTGTGTGCGACAGTGTATCATGAAAATCATTTCGAAACAGGCGTCTATGCGAGACAGGCTTTAACACAAGACGCTACAGTATGCGTAGGATCTAGGATGGCTGGTGCATGTCTTTCATGGTCTGTGCATGCTGAACCTAGGTCGAAATTATTAGGGGGGTGCACGTGCCCCATGCGGGCTATGTGCTTGATGCCAGTTCTCTCGTACTACAGTTGCGCTCGGTGAAATCCGACCCGGAACGCGTATTTGGCGACCTCAACTAGCACGCCCTTGACTCTCTGGTAGTGGCATGAATTCGGCTGAACATACGTACGCACTCACGAATACAATGATGTAGTAATCGGATCTGGTTCAGGGCTGCAGTGTTGCACTTTTGGGTCGGATTTCACCAAGCACAACTATACAAATGAACCTCATGCTCGAACATGGGTGAACAGGAACTTACAATCGAGTATGTTTAGCCCTCGATTGAAAACACTGTAAACAATCGATGGAGACCTGAAATTGGGCTGTGACGTAATAAAATTTACTATAATTACACTGTAACAGGGAAACGGTACATGTCGCCATAGAGACATGGAAACCGCACCCTAGATGAACCGTTGCGATTGGACTTGTTAACCCAACCGTGTGTGTGTGTGTGTGTGTGTGTGTGTGTGTGTGTGTGTGTGTGTTGTGTGTGTGTGTGTGTGCGTCTGCGTCATGTGTGTGCACGGGCACGTTTGTGTGTGCCTGTGTGTATTTGTGTATATCTGTCTGTCTGCTATAGAGTTTGAAGCGTACCAGAACCTTGTAGGCAACTTCACTGGACTTATGGGAAACCTCTCCAAAGAGGTTGAGGCTCATAAGATGAAGGTAAGGAGGACACACATGTAGTTACAGTTTTGTTTGGTGACATTGGACTGTAGTTCACGCAAGAACTTTGCAATTAAACTGCTTGAGAATGACCAGTCAATGGGAAAGTTCGGGTTCGACTGCCGCGAAGCACACTAAGGTTGCATTCTGAAATCCTCTCGGAACAGTCCGAGAATCTGCAAAAAGTTTGAAAATTGTTCTTATAATCCTCCCGACATGTTAAGAGATTCTCCGAAGGTCTTCGGACCACGAAGGCGGATAAAGGTTCAACTTACTTCAGTATATAAAAATAAATATCACGTTTGATGAATCCACACCTGCGCACTTCTACAAAACATAGGAATTTTCCAGATGCAACCATAATGAATACTCATAACACATGTACGTGTGTTCTCGGTGTCGCATCCCGCTTTTCATTTTACCTCGGACAGATCATAGGGACCGGACAGAGATCCTTTCTTTTCTTCTTCCCGTTTCTTCGTCTTCCAAGAAACATTTTGCCAAGAACCAATAGACAATAAGAATGTCGTCTGAACAGAGTGTTCTGCATAAGATATTCTCCCCATGTTGTTTTGCTGGACTTGCCACATTCATCGTATATACTATATAGCAATACTCTTGGGGCAGGGGCAGTATCAATTTTCGTCTCATGATTGATTCAATTCATGAAAGTCAGAGTTACGAAATGTCAAAATCCCAACTGTCCGTCCTTCTGCTTGTGTAAGATTTTCCCTACATTTTTGATCTGTACCTGATGCTCAGTCACTCAGCTTCATACAATATATCACTGGACAGTTTTTCCTGCCAGTTGTTACTGAAGTACTCCCTCGATTTAGGCTAAGGCCTGTGGAGAATCCATAAATACAAATACAAATACAAAGTATACATGTGTGAACCACGACGGAGCGCGGACAATTTGAACACTGATGTGTGTGTGTGTGTGTGTGTGTGTGTGTGTGTGTGTGTGTGTGTGTGTGTGTGTGTGTGTGTGTGTGTGTGTGTGTGTGTGTGTGTGTGTGTGTGTGTGTGTGTGTGTGTGTGTGTGTGTGTGTGTGTGTGTGTGTGTGTGTGTGTGTGTGTGTGTGTGTGTGTGTGTGTGTGTGTGTGTGTGTGTGTGTGTGTGTGTGTGTGTGTGTGTGTGTGTGTGTGTGTGTGTGTGTGTGTGTGTGTGTGTGTGTGTGTGTGTGTGTGTGTGTGTGTGTGTGTGTGTGTGTGTGTGTGTGTGTGTGTGTGTGTGTGTGTGTGTGTGTGTGTGTGTGTGTGTGTGTGTGTGTGTGTGTGTGTGTGTGTGTGTGTGTGTGTGTGTGTGTGTGTGTGTGTGTGTGTGTGTGTGTGTGTGTGTGTGTGTGTGTGTGTGTGTGTGTGTGTGTGTGTGTGTGTGTGTGTGTGTGTGTGTGTGTGTGTGTGTGGTCGCACACGTCTTTCTTCTCTTTCTCGGACTCTTCCTGACTTTTCTTTCATTCTCCTGGGTGGTTACCAACAGCCAGTGTATGCCGGAGTATGTGGTGTGGTGTGTGTAGGAAAAAAATGGAAAAAATGAAAAATAGGGATTCACTGGCCAGAAAAAGTCACTTCGAACAGCTGTGTGGTGGATACCAAGCTAAAAATAGTGGCGGTCAATTCATCAGCCTTGCAAGCTGTTGAATGGTGTAATCCCAGCACAAGTTGCTATGTCTAACATAGCTGTTCACTATCATCGCTTCCGCGATGGGCATGTCTGAGGTCTGAGGTGTGTGTGTACGTATGTGCGTGTGTTTGTGTGTGTATGTGTGTGTGTGTGCATGTATGTGTGTGGGGGGGGGGGTTCAATTCCCGACGATTATGGTCGCACACGTCTTTCTTCTCTTTCTCGGACTCTTCCTGACTTTTCTTTCATTTTCCTGGGTGGTTACCAACAGCCAGTGTATGCCGGAGTATGTGGTGTGGCGTGTGTGTGTGTAAAAAAAAAGAAAAAGGGAAAAAAATGGAAAAAATGGAAAAATGAAAAAATTCACTGGCCAGAAAAAGTCACTTCAATCAGCTGTGTGGTGGATACAAGGCTAAAAATAGTGGCGGTCAATTCATCAGCCTTGCAAGCTGTTGAATGGTGTAATCCCCGCACAAGTTGCTATGTCTAACATAGCTGTTCGCTATCATCGCTTCCGCGATGGGCAGGTCTGAGGTCTGAGGTGTGTGCGCGTGTGTGTGTGTGCACGTGTGTGAGTTTGTTGGTAAAGGTAAAGTTAGCCGCATTCGCGGCCGCATCACCTGACGTGTTTAGGGTCTGTTGGTACATGTATGAATATGTTGTTGGCTGACACTTGACAGCATGTAACAAGTCTTATCTATTACCATGTGTGAATATGTGGGTGTGGGTGCGTGCATGCATATGTTGGTACATGTGTGCGACCGTGTGTGCATATGTGCATGCGTATGTGTTTGGCCCACTCATCATAACGCGTAGGCGATTGGAGCACGTAACCTTCTCAAGACGGTACGCAAGCAACGTGAAACGCAGCAGCAGCAGCTGAGAGAGAAGATTGCAGAGCTGAGCATACAACTGGAACGGTAGGTCATGACAACCAATGAATGTGCCTTTGTAGAATCCTGCAGCAAGAAGGAGCCGAGGGTGTGTGTGTGTGTGATCCCCACTGGCCTAATTGGTAGGGCACTGTTAAGCTTGTTGATTATTACTATCTCTTTTGAGGGATGATCCAGAGGTGGGTAGCCTATCCAGGGGTTCTCTACTTGTGCGATATTGAATGGGTAGGGTAACAGGGGGGGGGGGGGGGGATAGAATAAGTTAGCCAGACACATGGAATGAGACAATAAAACTTCAAAGGATAGTGTGTGATGTGCAATTACTGCTGAGGTGTAGGAATGCCAGTGGTTCTATGGGCATACTCGTGCGTATATGGAGATGAGGTCAAGTGTACATAGCCAAGAGTGTGTACCTCCTATCTCGAGTTGCGATGGGTTCACCCACGGTGAATTTTCTCAGTGGTGGCCCAGGGGATTTGCCCGGGGAATTTGGTATGCTGTCAGATAGTCTGGTGACTTGGGTACAACCCTGATCACCACAGAGTTCGTGCGCATCTCCAAAACGCCAACCGACATTCTACCAGTCTCGTATGTGTAAAGCTAGGCGAATTCCGAACAGGGGGAAAATGAGAAAACGCCACCAAACACAAGATAAGTGTCCTTGCGCGCCTCTAAGTACTTCAGAGGCAGATCCAGGATTTTCCAGGAGGGGCAGGAATAAACACAAACACGTACACACGAACATACATGTGCACCCGCACACACAACACACGTGTGTACAAATATCTGCCACGGGAAGCAAAACGAATGAGAGAGCTTGGAAGCTCAGGGCCCTACGCTATGCTCTTTTGCCTTGATGACCTAGAAAAAAAAGCATAGGGATGTTATAAATTTAGGGGTGAAACAATTACCAACTTCTCGAGTACTCGCTCGGTTTTTTCAAAAATAATCGTACTCGGAATAAATCAGAGTACTCGTTCATACATGGTTCATGCATTTACCACAGAAATCTGCAGTTTCAGAGCAGCAGTCGGCAGATATTGATGTGCAGACTGTGTGGCGAACATTTGTTCCCGAGTAGAGAGAGCCCAAATGACCCACCAACCAACACACCCGAGAAAAATGACTGCCACTCGGTTCAATCAGGGTTGTTTCATGCGATTTTTAGGCCCTTGGTGTGCAAGTTTTAGGAGATGAAGAATACTCGAATACTCGAATATTCGATCGGAGAAAATCAGATTACTCGATCTCGGGATCTCAGTGCCAACTTTCACCCCTATATAAATTTTTTTTAATTCCTTTTTAAGACATAACCTGGGATTCGAACCCGCACTATCGCTCGCCCTGCATGCGTCCCCCGATACACTTCGCATACATACTAATCCTTCCAAGTTGCTTCACAGTGTGATCTTGCATTCGAAAGCCTATTTTTGAATATGCATTGTGGCCAGCCGTCTTTTATGGTACGGTACGGTAGGGGATAGGTACAGGACAGGTACGATCGAGGGTAATACGACACCGTCTCCCGTACCGTACCGTACCATCAAACACAGCTGGCCACATACAGCTGCCCGCAATATTCAAATAGGGCTTTCAAACGCAAGATCATAACGTGAAGCAACTTGGAAGAATGGGTATGAATGCGAAGTGTATGGGGGAATGCATGTAGGGCGATAGTGCGGGTTCGAATCCCAGGATATGCCTGAAGAAAAAAGGAGAATTGAAAAATTTATAACATCCCTATGCTTTTTTTGCCGTCAGATACGGGATAGCGCCAGGCGTGACACAAACAAACAAACAAACACACAAATACCAAATTAAAGCTGTGTGGACCCTGGCTAGCGCCAGACGTTACTGAAGTAACGTCTTCTGCATGCGATGGCTGTGGAGCTGCTTTCTCTCTTCAGCATGGTCTGGATTGCATGAAGGGTGGGCTCATCAAGCGCGGGCACAACGATGTCCGCGACTTCGATGCCCGGCTGGCAGACGTTGCATGGGGAGGTGTGGCTGTCGAGCCGGTGATGGTACCTGTGCAGGATGGCAACAACCGTCCCACACTGCAGGCGGATTGGCTGGTCCGGGGAGTTTGGGAAGGAGACAGGGTGGCGTACTTTGACAACCGCATCGTGGATGCCGACACACCCAGCTACGTCCGCTCAAACCTCTCTTGGAACGCCGTATCCAACAGTGCTGCCTCTTCCAAGAAGAGAAAGTATAAGGCGGCCGCAGAGGAGCTGCGAGCATCCTTCACCCCGCTGGTCTGCTCAACTGATGGTGCACTGCACACAGAGTACCGTGCGTATCAACGGCGACTTGCTATGCGCCTTGCCTCCAGGTGGGCCAAGTCCTACAGCAACGTCATGTCCTGGGTGCGGATCCACCATCAGTTTGCTGTTTTCCGGGCTGTCGACCTTCGTCTCCGGGGTTCACGTCGTCGTCTCGGTGGGCTGGCAATTTGCGATGGTGTCGGCCTTGGCGTTGGCACATAACTTTAATGCGTATGGCACTTGTTGTTGTTGTTGTTGTGTGTGTGGGTGTGTGTTTGTTTTCTTTCCTTTTCTTTTCAGCTGTCATTTGCCCTGATCATACCTCATGCGTGTTTCACAGCATAGTACGTTTCCGCTCATTTTCTTCTTCAACACACGCTAGCTGTATTACTTTGTTCTTGCCCGTACAGGAGGCTTTTCCACGTCTTCTGCATAGCTACGGGAATAAAATTGATACTAAAGCTCCCAAAAGTGTGCATCTCTGCATTACGGGGTCTCCGACGGCGAAACCTCACATCACGTGTGTCACGTACGTTTCGTACTACGTACATAAGGAGGTAGTTGGCGAATCCCATAGAAACGGTACCAGGAGTTGTACACTCTTGGCAGCGTATAATACTCTTGGTAGCAGTATGGCTGAATACATGGCGTATCTCTTATTATCCCGCCGCGTTTTTTCTACAGATACCGGATTGAAGCTGAACAACTGCAACAACACGAGGAGGAGCAAGTGGACTTTGTGGCGCAGTTTGCATCGAGCAAAGGTGTTTGATGACAACCAACATCGGATCTATGACCAACGGCGGGGAGATGCCGTACACAATGCAATATCATGTGTTTGACGGCAATGCCGTACAAAATACAATACCATGTGTTTGATGGCAATGCCATACATGACAGTGTCATGTGTTTGATGACAATGCCGTACTTGTACATAATACAATACCATGTGTTTGATGGCAACCAGCGCTCAGCACCGGACAATGCCGTGCACAGTGCTTCAGAACGATACTATAAACATGCCCGCTTGAAACTACAAACGCTATCATCATAGCTATCGTGACGCACCATTCAAGTTTGCTGTGCACATTGTATACTCAGTACTGCCTGCTTGCATGCAGAGAATGCTGCAGTGCGCGCTGCAGCATTGCCGATGCCACACGTTAGTTACATGCGTTCCTACGCAGGCTGTAACCATGGTAACCATCACATCAATAACATGTAGTACAGTAGTACAGTGAACAGTGCTGGGCAGAGTAGGCTGAGATGATTTCTTTTCATGTTGTCAGCGTGTGTGTTTATATGCAATACCCAGTATTGTAGACAATATGTACATAACTCTCCAGCCATTTTCAACAAGACTTAAGTTAGTGGTGTGACACACACGCCTTTGGACCTTTGGAAAGCCCATCGCCGAAGGCGATGATAGCTATTAGGCGAGGCAGACGTTCTTGTGTCGGGATAAATCATTCGGACGGCGAAAGTCGCGGCCGCAGACACAGACGAACACTCTCGGCTGAGGCTGGCTTGGTGGCTTCCGACGGCTACGCTCGCGCCAGTCCCTCCGGTCCTGAGCAAGGTGGTGCCATTGCGCCTCCGGGATACCGGTCGCACGGAGGTCTGAAGCTGCCGCATCTCTCCAACGACGCTTGGGTCCATGGCGGGGCCGCGTGTTAGACATACACACACACACACACACACACACACACACACACACACACACACACACACTTGTGGCAGTAGAGTCTACGTTGAAGAAAGAAACAAGTCATTCACTGCCGTGGCAGAGAGCCCGGTCAGCGAACCGGTTGAGGGGCACTTGGACCGGTTTGAAAACGTAACATGACCTGGCTGGGAGTATAAGTTATTTTTATAACAGGTCGGCTTGTTGTGAGGTTGGTAAACAAAATAAATGTGCACCGTAGGTTACTGGGATGGCTGGGATGTTCTTACACAGGAACCTTCTAAGGTAATGCAGTGTAGGTTTGATGGTGCACAACATTCAGGACTGATGCGTAAGTTTTAAAAAAAACTTCATGATGTAGCGTAGACCGAACACGTGGCAAAACGTTGAAAAATTCATCAGCGCAACACTTCGACTAGAGACTGACCTCTAGCAGCACTCCAGCAGGAAAACCAGGGGTCGGATTTCACTCGCCACCATTGTAGACGTTAGATGTCGCCAACAACAGAAATGAGACAGAAAATGATTGTAAAGAGAAAAGGACCTACTGACGTATAACAGTCCACCAAGGTAACCAGATCTTCTGCAGTCGGATAGTGCGACAAGGCACAGAACTGACAAGGGTATCGGCTATTGAGACATTCGACGACATTGTTGTCGCACTATCCGACTGTATTTTGTCTTGCAACCTTGGTGGACTGTTAGTTAGTCATAACTAGTAGTAGTACATATATTATAACTTACATGTATAATACAATGTCATGTAGGTCCTTTTCTCTTTACAAGTACATGTACATAATTATTATTGCTATTTGCTCAACATCCGAGTTTTTAGAAAATGACTGTATCCTTGATAGGCATTGGCGGATAATGCTCGAAAAGGTGGCAGATTCTGCTCGAAAAGCATTGAAATTGGCAGAACCATACAAACCTTATGGCGGGAAATTCCCCGAATTCTGCTCCATTTCTTTATCCACATACCGAACATGCATGAAACTTACCAGAAAAAGTACCGAATTCTGCCGGCATTATCCGCAAAGGCCTAATCCTTGATTTCTATCAAGACCAACACACCAAGAAGGCGAACTTGACACGATAAAACATGTGACAACACGGGACACAATGCAAGGATGAGACTACAGCTTGCAGGATATACAATGTAGTCGTCGCCATACCCTTTTCTAAGTGGCCGGAAGAAGCGCAACTATAGACGTGAGCAAGGTTTGGCCACATTGAGTATGCAGACAGAATTCTAGGGCAGTGTATGCAGAATTTTGAGTTTTTTTGTACAGAGTTGGCTAGCCAAGTCAGGATATCAAAGCGATGCTGGTATATTAGGGAAGTACATGATTGTACACGATGTACATGTATGTTGGGATAGCAGCGAATACACCACTGGCGTGTATTGGGCATAAATTATGATAAATGATGGCATTATCAATTCACTACTGAGATCGTAAATCAATTACACTTTCCAACGGCGTTTGACCACATCCACACGTGCTTACTCAGATCTTGAATTCCTTGGTCCTTACTGCGTCCTGCATCCGCCTCGCGAAGATGTCTGCTTACTGTACAACGGAAAATGATGACGGGTCAACTCGCTGAAATCCTTTCGGCTCTCCTCAGGCTAATAATCATGCTTTCGACTATATATTTATATATATATATTATTTGGATTTCCCAAAGGCATAGCCTATCGGGGGATCTCCTAACAGTGAAAATGATCATTGATTTATATATTAGTGAAGCGACTTGTGCAGGCAAATATATGCTGTTTATAATGAGCGCGAAATTGTGTCCGAAATTCTGAAACAGAATCTATAGCGGTAATCTTGGGTGGAAGGCAACCTACACCTCAGTTACACGATAAGCGACAGGTTGTTGTCGGCGAAGAACAGTGCAGGGTAGCAGTGCAACCAAATGCAGTGACTCAACGGAGAATGCGCTCGTCCCGTCAGGGCTCCACACTATCGAAATATACATGTAGAGGTTAAATGCGAGATCACGCCTGTCCTTGTCGAACCATGCCTCGATATCGATCCACACAGCCGTGTGGTCTGGTTCATCGTCGTTCTCTCCCGGTTTGTATCCATAGTCCTGAAAGACAATGTTGTATTCTTTGTCCAGTGTTGAGATGAACGTAGTGAATTCGTTCACATCCGAAGTACGGTGAAACTGGAAGATGTTGTAACCGTGAATCTGCAGTACACACGTTGCGTTGGCCGCAAACAGAGGCGGGCCCCAATCGTAAGGAGCGCTCCGGGCAAAAGGCTCAACTCTACCATTGTCGTGCAGGTGGACATCTGGATCGCCGAAGTCTTCTTTCTCCGAATTCATAATGTATTCCAGTATCAAAGTCCCTATCAAAACGGGTTCAGGATACGTAATTGGAGGCATTGTGCACTGGTTATTGTGCCCGCTGTCAATGTAATGTTATGTTCGTCCACCCCGTAGCTCAATAGACACACAGTTAGAAGATTTGGATAGGACTGAAGTCACAAGCCAAAGTAAGAGTAAGACTGAGAGCAAGACACACTGAATAAGACTGACTGAATGAAGTGAACTGAACCAAACTCAACTCAACCAAACTCACACTGAACAAGACAAAGCAAACGGTTTTATAGCCAGCGATAAGAGTTCCAAGAAGTAACAGAAACAACGAGGCGTGTCATGCATAACTACTAGAAATCGCCTCTGAATGTGTGTAAGAGAAAGAGTGGTAGAATAGTGTCGTGGAAAATACTCGGAAGACAACTTAAGACAGACGAATGAAAGAACAAGCTATAGAGTGGGGAATTACGTAAAGCGAATATAACCGCGAGATTGTAATGTACAGTGAAAGACGTCAGAATGCTAACATTACGGGTTCATGTATCATACTCATTCATAGTCAGTTTACACACATGTACTGGATACAACGTAGTTAGCAAGGCAGGGATATTATTATAGGGCTTGAAAGTGATGACGTCAAAACGGCCAGGGAGTAGTAAGTTGACATCAGATTTCTATTTTTGGATCCACTAAGGTGTGACTTTGCTATTGCCTAAGTATGTGGGTGCATAGCAACCCACTCATGTCGCATGCAGGTGTGACTTTTTATTTCGCCACCAGTTGTAACCCCGCCCCCAGTAGCCAAATCAGTCAGTTTCACTGGCTACATCACCATGCTGTGGGTAAGACCGCTTGAAATGTGCTTGGATCCATACAAAAACTGGATCCAAGTGGATCCAGTTTTTGAATTTTTGAAATTGTTGCTATGCAGTGACGTAGCACTTTCAAGCCCTATTACACTAAGTAAGTGGTTGCGGGGGAACCCCCTACTTGAAAGACAAGTGATGACTTCAAAAACGGCCTGGAAGTAGTAAATTGACATCAGATTTCTATTTTGGATCCACTAAGGTGTGACTTTGCTATTGCCTCAGTGCATGCAGTATGTGGGTGCATACATGTAGCAACCTACTCATGTCGTATGCAGGTGCAACTTTTACTTCGCCACCAGTTGTCACCCCGCCCCCAATTTGGCTATTGGGGGCGGGGTGACAACTGGTGGCGAAGTAAAAGTTGCACCTGCATACGACATGAGTGGGTTGCTATGCACCCACATACTGCACTGAGGCAAGAGCAAAGTCACACCTTAGTGGATCCAAAATAGAAATCTGATGTCAATTTACTACTCCCAGGCCGTTTTGACGTCATCACTGGCAGTATTGCTATCTACAGCCAGTACACATGGTACAGGCCAGCTAGCTCCTTGCCGGCCTTGTTTCATGCTGTCAATCTAACGATTGCGTGAACTACAACAAGGTTTATCTAATAGTATTATACTGAGCTTGTATACAAACTCCCATCTCTCCCCACACAACACTCCAGACTTGTATTTTGCATATAACAGGTACTTCGATGACGAGAATATAAACTGGTATATAAACTGGTATATAAACTGGTATATAAACTGGTGTATAAACTGGTATATAAACTCCTTTTTTTTTAGGATTACACTAGTGACCTGCAGTCCGCCTTGATGGTTTTTCGACATGCACGACGGTCCCAACTTCAGGATCTCTTTCCCGTCAACGATGAAGAATACAACGTCATCCTTTGTAACATGTGCCTTGTGCTGCACCTGGCGTTCGAGGCTGTCCTTCTTTCGCTGTTTCAGCACTCCGTCTGTCAAGCGCAGCACTCGACATGTGCGGCTGAAGAGCCCCGCGTGCCGCTCCTCCTGCGTTTTTGCATGGACATAGAATGCAGATAGCAGGGGCGACGGAACTTCACTACTGATGGTTTTCCAATCGATGTTCTCCTTTCCGCGTCCCTCGCAGAGCGGACGGAACATGCGCAGCCATAATCCGTGGCACTGCCAGTGTTCTTAGAAACTGCTGCTTGAATAATGGCATCGTGATTCGTGGTCGTCCTCAGAAGAAACGTTTGGGAGTCGATTCAACAGGCTCGTGCTGATTCATTTTACTCTTACTTTGGAAAGGAGACGAACTCTATGTCGTGTGTGTGCCGAAAGGCGGGCTCACGCCCCGACATGGCTACTTCCCCTTGTCTATAGCCCCCAAGACGAAAATGATAGTAGCCGACTGGCCGAAATTAAAAAAAAAAAAAAAAAAAAATCTATGTCTCTAAAGTCTAATGAGCAAACGGTTCTTTTACAGAGCCCGCGGTGAGATCTGCGCGCGGTAACGGTCACTAGCACTGTGAGGTTCAAACTAACTTACTTGGCGCATAGCTGTTACTTCCGATGTAACTAGTACTTCAGTACTAAACTGAAGTCACAAAGAGTGTGTGATGGTACTGCACTAGCACTGCATGCACTGCACAGAGTCAGTGGTAGTCTTGTATTGTACTTGATCCGCACTACACAGGTTGGTGAAAGGAAGACTCGTCGAGCCATGGTTGTGGGTTGGAATTCCAATCTCTACCCTTGTGGGGGAGAGGGGAGTTTGTATATCAGCTCAGTATAAGCATAATAATAACCTAACCAGTTGATTATATGGGAAATATAAACCTGTATACAAACCGAGGCGTCGCCTCGGTTTGTATACAGGTTTATATTTCCCATATAATCAACTGGTTAGGTTATATTATATACATACATGTTCTGGTTTACCAGTTTTGGATTATATCAAGTTGGATCGTGTACTGTCCAGTGTCCACAATAAATGCACTTCAAGTACAGCGAAGTTTGCGGCGATTTATATTCGCCAATGTGTGATGGTCGCTAAAATAGCCACATTTAATCTCTAGCGAGAGTTTCTCACTTCACAGTAGGAGTTATGACTAACCGTCCACCAAGGTAGCGAGATAAATAATGCACTCAGACAGTGCGACAGCAAGGCACGAAACTGACAGTCTCAGTTCTGTGCCTTGTTGCCGCACTGTCTGACTGTTCAATTATCTCGTTACCTTGGTGGACGGTTAGTCATAACTCGTAACTTATTGGCCCTTTCTCTTTACATTGAATACTACTAGCTCCACATCCAAGTTTTAAACCTTCACAAGTGCCGAAAACCCCACTACAGGCTAGCCATATCCACCCGTGAGGCACATGATTTTTTTGACTTAACGACCAAAGGTATAGTAATGCTAGGCGCCGAAAGTACGGAGTGCCGAAGAACGAGCAGGCTAGAATTTCACCAAGCACAGCATACCAATGCATACACGATGACTCAATTGTGCATAGAATGTTTGTGCCTCAGCCTGTAGTACACGAAAAATAAGAACGGTCCAGGCCATGATGCTGACCCCCCCCCCCCCCCCCTTCCCCCCAGTTCTTCGTCGACCGGCAGGACCATAGTATACGTACAGCTGTCCTTCTTTTATGGTGGCAGACTACCCAAAAATTCGCTGAAAAATCGAATTTGTAAATTCATATTGAGTGCTACGTCAGTTGAAAGAGCATGAATAGCTGCAAATTCTCTGAAAATTGTGTCCCGATCTGACCGGCCGTTCAAGAGTTATGGCCGAAAATGTGCCCTTGCAAGGAAAGATTTTTTTGTTGCACGCTGTCATTTGTTGGCAGCACTGTATTTGAATGTGAGCAGACCGTGCGCAACTTGTCGTATCATGGAAACACGTGAAAGTGTGCAGAATTTTGCTCCAAGTCCAAAAAATCAGGTTTTTGAGCCACGTATTGGGCTGCACGGCGGCGGGCGAAGCCCGCCGCCGTGCAGCAGGACTTTTGCCAGCACCCTCGTGACGTTGCAGATATGTGGCTTGATTATTGTAGTTGACGTTGATTTAGTGACTTAAGTCTTTGGCAAGTTTGAGTCGTGTCAAGAAGTCAGGTAGGATTCAGTACTAGGCAGTAGTGAAACGTGAGTGGTAGTCTTTGCCGGTTTCTGAGGGTATCCTGGATTTGGTGTGCAGCGCTGTGGAAATGGCTTGCTGTGGAGGTCCCAGCACTGGATGTTGTATCAAAGGTACGACCTCGTAGCACACCATAAACCTAAACAAATTCAAATATTGACTTGGGTCTGTGGGAGTGTGTGAGAGAACGCCCACTCGTTCCGTTGTGACAGATTCCAGGGCCTCGTTGAGGGGCCCTACCCCATCACCCATGGCTGCTTCTGGACTTGTTCTAGGTTTGAGTCCCGCGCACGAACAGAATGAGCACGAAAATGTGAAAAAGTTGTAAATGCATTTGTTTGGCTCCTGGGTAACCGGGTGGCTCGCACACCGTGGCACTATGCCGGAAATTTGAGTTTTTCCGGCCTGGAAAGCCTGTCAGTGAGGCGCAAGAACTTGTAAATCATGTCCTGAGGGCCAGCATAGTGGCAGGAGTGTGTGGTCAAAATCTCACTTAAATCCATTGAGAAACACCAAAGTTACGGTCAATTGAATGCCATATGAAATTTAAGGGTAGGCTGCCCCCTTAAACCAGCACTATTTTCAGTAGCCGCCTCTTCAATGCACATTGCAGCAGTAAATCAGATTCGTTAACCCAGCACCCTCCCTAACCCAGCAGAATCTCCGTAGCACAAATGCTGCCGGACTGTAAAGGGACCACTGTAGGTCTAAATGCCATGCGACGGCAATCTTCAAGTCCGCCATGATGTCGAGAAAATACAACAATACATAGAATTCCTACTGGAAAAAAAGTGCATGCGCCTGCCCTGTACAAGAAAGACTAAATCTGCGGCAGAGAGGTTAAGATGAGGTCAACGTAGCTGCTGCCGTGGCCCCATGGATGATAGCACTACCAATTTATCCATGTTTGTTTTTACTATTACCGTATTTTTCCGGTTGTAAGTCGACCGTTCACGACTTAAAATAGAAGGAAAAAGGGTGGGGGTCGACTTACAACCAGGATTCGACTTATAACCGGGAACTATCAGAATCTTACAAAAAATGACCTGCACAGCATGCACGAGTGCACTATGTGTACACATTTTTTCCAGTTTATTGGCCTTTTCAAAGATTGGGATGTCATAACCTCCAATATGGAATGTTTACATGATTTGTTGTTGTGTTAATAGCAGGGAGTGGTTAGTAGTGCTTCTTTGGGTGAAAACTTTGAAACGCAGAATTGAGACCTCCGGATACGGGGGTCGACCTATAACCGGGGTCGACTTACAACCGGTAAAATACGGTATTCACAAACCCAACTCGTAAAATAAATAATTATGCGGACAAAAACAAACAGCTACTGAGTAGGGCCTGCACTGGGCAGCAGTGATGGCGAGGTGCCAGGGGCTCCACCGACCAAAGGTCTCGGTTTCAATGGCACAAGCACGCATAGTTAGGGCATGCCGTGCAAACTACAGGCAAATATTTATCACACACAGTTACAACTAAAAAAGCAGATCATCGACTCATGGCTAGCAGTGAGCCTTCACAACCGACGGAACGGTGAGTGAACCTGGGTGAGGGGTATGCATGTGTGCCCTCTGTACTAAACCCGTGACACATCTGTAACAGGGTGAAACCGACACTGCACTGGCAGGCGCATACACACACGTACATACACACACACACGTGGACGCGAGCTGCCGCCGAAAACACGTAGGTACGCACGCGGACACGCACAAACATACACACACACACACACACACACACACACACACACACACACACACACACACACACATGCATAAACAGATTAACTCGCGAAACTAGATGCGCACACCAGTCGAACCGTGGGGTGAGTGGCGGTTCTTACGCGAAGCGCCCACTTAAGGCACACAAGCTGCTAAAGGAAACATAGCAGCTTGACTGCATCAAACAGTGTGAAGGGTAAACAGATGAAGGGATACACTTGTTCTGAAAACGTAGCACAATTGCGCTGGGCGAAGTCCGACCCGAAGTGCAAAGCCGGGGGCCTGGACCAGATCTGTGCATCACTGCATTCACACATGTGTACGCCCAGCCGCGTTCGTGCCACTTCCAGGGCGTCAGGGGCTGTTAAAGTTGAGGGCGAAGATATGCACTCTGGGTCGGATTTCACCGAGCGCAACTGTACTTATTAAAAACCACCAGTCTACTGAGATGCACGATGACCGGTACAAACCTCAAGACAAACAGGAAATGATTTCTATCGTGTTCTATAGAGCAACAGACATCATATTCTTCGACAGGGATTACAATAGACACGGCAAACACCCCATCCAGCAGCACGGTGGCAGTACAGTGATCCTTCCCTTTACAGTCTGGCACCATTTGTGCCGCTGAAATTATGCTGGATTAGAAAATCTCATTTACTGCTGCAATGTGCATGAAACGGACACTTTGGTAAGTGAAAAAGATTATGCTTGTTTATGCACGTAGAAAGGAAAAGGAAATATAGATACGAGTTGAGAGTAACTCTCCATCACTGTAACCAGATACTATATACAGTCAGAAAGTGCAACAACTAGGGACAAAACTGACAGAGTACTGAGACATTCGACGTCCTGACACCTAGCTTCAACACATCTCCGTAGCGCTAACCGA